TGGGCGGCGGTATTAGAGGGCGATCATCGGCGCCCTGACGGCTGTCGTCACCGACGCCGTTCCAGAGGTCAAATCCGAAGTCGTACATCGGAAACCCGGCGTGGGCGAAATGGCAGCTCTGAAAGGGCAACAGGGGTTTGTGTTTGGACTGTAATGTCATTGGTAGGTCGTTGTTTAGTTTATAGACGGCATTTCTGTCATGTTTTTGTGGTAGCTGTAATGCATCGGTGGTCTTTCATAAAAGTTAAAACTCGTCAACCGTTCGTTTATTTCTAGGTCGTCATTTGAAAGATCGATGGTAGTTGGTCGTCAGTAGTCGGTCGTCTGCCGGTAGCAGGGAGGATCAGTAGTCCGCGACATCAGTCGTCAGACGCTGTGTATCAGTAGTCAGAAGCATTGTAAGCAGTGTAACGTCAGTCTTTTCCTATCCAGCCCTCCCTCGACAGCTCGGCAGCCGGCCTCTCTCAGGTATCACTCAGGCATCCATCGAGCATCACCCAGGTATCACTCACCGGCCGTCCTTCGTCACCAGTCCGTCAGAAGTGCCTCAGTAGTCCGTCAGTATTCGATTCCCATCCCGTCTCTCGTCAGCCGGCGCTGCTGACGGCCGCGTCAGGCCGCCCTATCAGCCGTCGGCCGGTGTCGGTACCACTCAGTCCTGTGGCGACTCCACCCTGTCCTTGGCCGGTCCGCAGCGCGTGCAGAGAGTGCTGGACACGCACCGCGGACCGCACCCGCACGCACCGCGCCGAGCGAGCTATCGGCTCTTCCGGCTGGAGGCTGGTTCATTGATGTGTCGTTAGTTGAGTACGGTCTGTTCGGATAAGTTCGTTTTTAGATTTGCGTGTCTGTAGTTGCTAAGCGGACTATGACAGCACTTAGGCCAAAGTACGACACGGGATTTGCATGTTGGAGTTCGATTACAGTGGTGGACGGGTGATGTTGGCGGTCACGTGTGTTACGCTGCACGCGCGCTGCTGTCGCTATACGTACCGGAGTGCTGGCGTCCATCACCGTGTCTGCCGGCGTCCTGTGTCGGAGCTGTGACGCCCGAGTCCGCCGGCCAGCCGCCCGCACCAGTCGCCGGTGTCGTGCATGATTACACGCACTGTCGGCCGCGCTGATCCGACGCAGCGTTCCTCGCGGGCCTGGAACAGCGTGCAACATAGCGAGCGGCGCCTGCCTGCCGGCCCAGTCAGCCACCAGGCGGGTTTTGGGAGACGGCGTAACGGTAAACGACGACCGCTTTTGTTGGCTGTGCCGGTTTTATGCCGATTATTTTCGCCTCGGCGGGTGGCTGAGTCAGATTCGAGATGACAATCGGTTTCTTGGGATCGGTGGATGGTGATACCCATGTTTCTGTGTTGTAGATAAGACTCGCGGTCTACTAATCCTTCCAGTTTTCGAGGTCACAGTCATCGGATAACGTTTTCAGCGGCCTCTTGGCTAGCGGTTGCATTAATGCCGTGGCATAGAAAATAGATTTAGAGCGGTCGCTTTAAATGGAACGCTTTAAACGTCAGTCCTGTTTAACTTTGGGAAATGCGGGATGAATGTGAATTGTGACAAGTGCATTTCGTCATCAAAGTTGGTTTGCTAATGGAATCGGAAACTTAATGTCTCCGATGTTTGCCCATTCGTGCCTCTGCTGCGTCACAAGGCAGCTTGATTTACAAACTACGAGAAACACAAGCCAAACTGTGGGGGCGAAGCTGGTGCCCGTCGCGACGTTTTATGGTTCCTCTGTCCTCTGACCTTGGACGGGACGGAGCGGCCAGCGTGGCGCCGCGTGGGGCTGTCCTCCGGCTACAGAGGACGGTTGTCCTCCTTTGTCCCCGCTCTGTCCCGCGGACACCCTCGGCAGCGGACAGTACAATCTCTGTGCCACACCCTCAGCTGCCGTCCAGCGGCCTACAGTCGGCGGCCATCTGCCGTCTGTTGTAGGTCCAGCTGGGGGTGTGGGGCGGCGAGTCTGCAGCCCCGGCTAGTCGCCATAGCCAGGCCCCTGTGAGCATGCCCTAGCGAGTCTGGTCCCTGAGATCACGGTCCCTGCTGCTCGGTCCATCGTCTTGTCCACTCAATAGCCGGGTGTGGCTGCCTCATGGAGTGTTTCTGGACTTAGTGTGGACGCCTGGAGGGAGATGACTGCTGGTTCTCTGACGTCAATATGTCTTCAGCAGTGCGACTTCCGTGTTTGAATGTATGGGCACGCCAAACATAAACCATCATCTATGTCAGCACCTATCAGCGCCGATTAGTTGGTAGGGTAGACCGGGGCAAGTCGCCCCGCCGAGGTAAAACGCCTCACCGATGTTTCTCGGAACTGGCAGAGTTCTGGGGAAACATCATCTCTTCTATAAAACGTGCACTATATGATGATTATATGAGCAGACTGGAAAGAAATTGTGATGACTCTTTCCGGAGATATAGCCAAAAATGTGTTTTTTGAGTGATTTTTATGTTTTGTTGTCAGATTATGTATCATGGCGTTCTTTTATGGTCCACATCAGGTTAACGACTTTTATGTATTTTGAGCAACTATTGTCTAACGCTTATCATGCCGGGTTGGTTCGTGTTAAATTATGTCTTGCTGGAGTGCAAGGCGTTGTTCTCTGAGCGAACTACGTGATGGGGTAAAATGCCCCAGTAGGTCGCGGGGCAAGAAGCCCCTGGGGCGTTTTACCTCATGTGTTGTTCGGGCTACCCACTTTCTAATGTTCGGTAGCTGGCGAACAGTAAGTTTCTATGCCTTTATGTGTATTTTTCTCAGCAACTGGATGGCAAAGGAAGTATTTTGTTAACATTTGCATTGCAATAATTTATTGTTTGGTCTTATGAGGTAGGTGAAAAACCTGCTCATACAATAGTGTCATAGCTGAACACCTGACAGGATGGAATGTGCTAACTTCAGTGCCGTGCCTCCAGAGGTCTAACGGACCTCTCGCATAAGATTTAGCCAACTACCATGTTAAATCTTTAATCTAAAGTATGGGGCTACTTGCCCCAGGCCGTGGGGCGTTTTGCCCTGGGGTTGGGGCAAAAGGCCCCATTTGCAGTTGCTTCACAAATCACTTCCTAGCTTGGAGTCCGATCATAAGTGAATGAATTTGAGGGGTGCAATTTAAAGTAAAATGTCCAAAGAACGCTTTGAGCACAAATTTGGCCTTCCAGGTGATGTGAGACAAAATTTATGTAGCAAAATAAATTATCTGGGGCGTCTTGCCCCAGGCTACCCTACCCTGGCTGTTGTTGCATGTGACACACGAGAGTGGATGATGCATTGCAGACATTGACATGTAATGCGTCCACTCCCAAGTGTATATTGTCTTTAGAGCCATATGACTGATTGTTCCTTGCAAGCGGTAAATTATAGTAGCTACACGGCTAAGCAATTTAGCATGCTTAGACCAGGCGCGCCCAACGGGTGTATACTGTATATGTACTCCTAAAGCCAGTGTACGTACGGCCAGGGTTGGTATGCGCGGCCTCCCAAAGGACCTGACCCGAACATTCAGCCAGCGCCATTCAGGCTGGTTTGTGTACGCCGTCGAATCGAGGCTGGAACCAGCAATCACGCGGGCCGCCCTCGGAGCTCGACAAATCCGCCCTGACCGACAAATCAGCCCCGACTGTCACCGGCCAGCCAACAAATTGGGCACGCTTCGACCGGTCTGTTGACAGACTAGAGCCGACTGTGGACAGTCTGCAGTCTGTTGCGGTTGTTCCTTTCGATGCCAGACTGGAAAATGTGTCACTTGATCAGCGATCTGAGTCTGTTGCTGGTGATCCTTCCTATCGCAGACTGCAGTCTATCCTGCAGTCTGCACTCTGCAGTCAGTACAGTCTATCCATTGACTGTGTCCCGTGATATAGTCTACAGTCTGTCGCCTCTGATCTGCCTTTCGCAGACTGCATGGTCTGTTGCTGTGAGACCATCCTGTGACAGTCTTTTCGGACCGGTCTGTCTGCCCGGCCGACGAGCCGGTGTCACGTTTATTGCCCTCCCGCTGACCGGACGCTTTTACGGCGGACCAGGACAGATTGGGCCGGGCTCTGGTGCCGAGACAGGACGGACGGACCGACGGGTGGACGGACGGACGGACGGACGGACGGACGGACGGACGGACGGACGGGCGGTGGCCACTGGCCACGGATGGTGGTGGCTGTACGGAGCGTAAGGATGGTGGTTGGTTTGCACGGACAGGACAGTGGACAGCTGCTACATGGAATGCTGCTACATTAGGGCCTCGCCAGGTGTAGGGGTCCCAGGGGAGCAATGTCTCTTTGTCGCAGATGTGGCCAGTAGAGCATACAAGGCACTAACTTATACAGGGCTCTGAACATTGACCAAAAACTTCACAAATGGTGCTTTCCTTTATGCCAGAAAGACGATCGCCAAAATGGTCACTTCGCTGGGGCATTCTATTTGGTCTTTGGAACCATGTCTCGTCCCTACTCCATCCCCGCTTTCATTTGACCTTCGCCGTCGGCGTCGTCCGGCTGCCTCAATGGCCGGCGGCCATCAATAGAAGCGAGTCGTCCGGCGGCGGCTCGGCAGCGTTTTTGTGCTGTTGTTCGGCGCACGTCGAACGGCCCGCCGGGATGGAGATGTATGTGTTTACCGGCGGTGTGTCACCGGAGCTCGATAGGTGTGCCGCGTCCCACTCGTGTCCGAAGAGCGTGATGACGTCATCGTGATGTCATTTGATGTAGGAGGTTTGGTGGGGTGCCTGCTGGATTAGAACGGGAAGCTGGGGATAGCGCAGGGGAATCACTGGATGTAAGCACGGCGTGCCTCTCTGTCCTTGCACCTTTTGCACCTTGTTTGTGATAAGAACTGGCGCTGGAAGTGGAAGTGCAAGACTCTCTCTCTCTCTCTCTCTCTCTCTCTCTCTCTCTCTCTCTCTCTCTCTCTCTCTCTCTCTCTCTCTCTCTCTCTCTCTCCCTCTCCCTCTCCCTCCCGTGACGGTGTGTGTCTGACGCCCCGCCTCCTCTGCCAGGTGACGGCGGAGGACGCCGATGCTGGTGTGAACGCCGAGCTGCGCTACTCGGTGGTGGCGACGGACGGTGTGCGGATGGACATCGAGCCGCGCCTGGGACAGCTGCGCCTGCCGCCCGACTCGGCCGGACAGCTCACCGCCGGAAAACACGCGCTCACCGTGAGTTGGCCCAGAGCTCACCGTGAGCTAGTCACGGACTCACCGTGAGTTAAATATGGGGTCACAGTGAATTCATCATAAGGTCACTGTGAGTTAGTTACGAACTTACTGTGGGCCAAACACGAGCCCAGCGTGAGTTAAACATGGACTGGATATGATCATCCGGCACGCCTTCAACCTGTCGAGTCGTCATGAAAAGGAAACTAGCTAACCAATGCCTACCCTGATCTCGGGCAACAACTCACCTGTCTGCCAATTAGAACGACATCCATGGATGTCATAATTCACACGCCGGCCTCCCAAAAACCCTGAAACATTCCTACCTGATCACTGGCACCTTCTTTGTAAACGGTTCCCTCTTTGCTGATAAATTCGACCCGTTTGTTCCACCGTGCACGGCCTCCACGGCTGCGCTGCGCACCCGTGTGTGCGTGTGCACACGGCTGTGATGATTGTATGACTGATGGTGGTGTCCCGGCGCCGGACGGCTGAGTCCGTCTCCATTAACAGTCGTGTTTGTGCGGCCGTCACAGACGGACCACCGCCGAGCACGCCTCCGCCGGACCGTCTGAACGGACATTTATTCAATTGGGCGATTGGGAAACTGGGCGTTTGATCTCCATTGTGCTATTTGGGCTACAAAGGATGCGTTATTGTATCTTATTCTTATCGGTAAACTGAATTGAAGGGTGGGATGTTTCATTTGAAATCATCTTTCTTTTGATTGGTATTATATCAGACGCATAATGGGTTATTGCAGCTTTCTGGTTTGCGCAATCATTTTCGCTTGCCTAGCGCCCTTCCTTATCAATTCGATTGCATTCATTATATGTGACGTTATTGATAAGCTAACTCGTTTTTTTGTAACAGTATACACTATACCATATAGCTGGTGACCGTTGAGCGTGCTGGTGTGCTGGCTAGGTACTGCGTTTGAATGTCATTTCTGTGTCAATTCATCCGATTTGCGCCACGCTTTGACCTTTTGGCCTCCTGCTTGCCTCCGGGCTCCGGCCCTCCTCACACTATGCGACCTCTCTTCTTACCTCAGGCACCTGTTGACCGCCCCCACCCACCTCAGATGTCCCCTCTGACCACCCTCTCCCGCGGCAGGATCTCTGCTCTCTCTGACCCGCCGCTGACCCTCCCTATCTGCCCACAGGTGAAGGCTGCCCTCTCTGACCGCCTCTGACCCTCCCTATCTGCCCACAGGTGAAGGCTGCCCACTCGGACCGCCTCTGACCCTCCCTATCTGCCCACAGGTGAAGGCTGCCCACTCGGACCGCCGCTGACCCTCCCTATCTGCCCACAGGTGAAGGCTGCCCACTGGGACCGCCGCTGACCCTCCCTATCTGCCCTCAGGTGAAGGCTGCCCTCTCTGACCGCCGCTAACCCACCCTATCTGCCCACAGGTGAAGGCTGCCCTCTCTGACCGCCGCTGACCCTCCCTATCTGCCCTCAGGTGAAGGCTGCCCTCTCTGACCGCCGCTGACCCTCCCTATCTGCCCTCAGGTGAAGGCTGCCCTCTCTGACCGCCGCTGACCCTCCCTATCTGCCCTCAGGTGAAGGCTGCCCTCTCTGACCGCCGCTAACCCACCCTATCTGCCCACAGGTGAAGGCTGCCCTCTCTGACCGCCGCTGACCCTCCCTATCTGCCCTCAGGTGAAGGCTGCCCTCTCTGACCGCCGCTGACCCTCCCTATCTGCCCTCAGGTGAAGGCTGCCCTCTCTGACCGCCGCTGACCCTCCCTATCTGCCCTCTCTGACCGCCGCTGACCCTCCCTATCTGCCCACAGGTGAAGGCCACGGACGGCGGCTCGCCGGCCAAGTCCTCCGTGACGCGCGTGCTGCTGGACGTGCTGCCGGAGCAGCCGGCGGCGCCGTACCCGCCGCGCGTGATGCTGCCCTCGGAGACGGTGCAGGTGTTCGAGACGGAGCCGGTTGGACATCTGGTGCAGTTCGCGGCGGCCAACACCACCGTCCTCTTCAGCATTGTCGGTGAGAAACGGAGGATGGAGAGGGGAGGGGAGGTGGGAAGAGATGGGAGGAAGGATTGGATAGCAGAGAGGATGAATGAAGGAGGGGTGGAGGAGAGGAGGAAGGAATTGAGAGAGGTTAGGAGAAGAGAGGAGGGGTGATGGATAAGATAGGGTGATATAGAGGAAGTTTACTGCAGGGAGAAGACGGAAAATGTTGCACTTACTATCGCAGTCAGGTTTGATCAGCTTCGTACCAGATTGGTAGCGAGCTGTTGGGTTGTTATTCACTCGCGATTGTGTTATATTCGGTGTTATGATGATCACACTGTTGTTTCCATGTTGATGAGTGCGTCCCGACCCCTCCGACTCGTTTGTATGTTTGATTGGACTGCGTCCCAGCGTGCCAGTCTCCCAGCTCGCCAGTTTCGTGCTCGGAACATGTTTGGTCAATGATGAAGCTGATTACGTCCAGGGTGCGGCCTATTGGAGCCGTATACCATCCACCGCGACTGTTCCAATCAAGTTCGCGCTGCCTGTTCTGATGAGTAGTCGGGCTGCGCTACATGAAGTTTAGACATGTTCTTATCAGCGGCCGGGTATCGGCCATGCTTTGTTCGACACCGATCAGTGTGTGTTTAGTGTAACTCGCCGTAGAACTGGGGCGGCCGATGTTGATTTAGCAGTGCTCCACTGACGGCTGCCTGTTGATCAACGAGCGTCTAACGCGTGTGGCATTGATGCCGCTCTGCTGGGCGGTAGGTCAGGGATTCACCACTGCTCGCTGGGGGTCAAACCCCGCCCCTCGCGGTCTGACAAGGCCGGTCGACGGTCGGGACGGCGGAGATCAAAAGGTCGAGCCAGCGCGGACACTGCACACAGGCAAGTGTGCGTAAACAGCGCTGATTGGGTCCGTTTAATGCAGCAGGGTCGTTTCTGTCGGCTATGTTGGTCGCGGAAATCAGATGGGCGCCGGTGTTGGACGTGAGGACCTTCTGCGGTCGAGTCTGAACTGAAGTGTGTTGTGTGACCGCGGCTAGCTGCATTATTGAAGAAGTTGCTATGGTTAGTCACCGACTGCCTGATATGGCTGATCTTGGAAAATGTGACAGTGCTGCAAGGACGTAAACAATCGCTTGTTTTCGTGTCATGAAGGAATGCAACACAGGAGCGGGCTTTGTCGAAGCAGGACACGAATGAGTGTTATCAAAGACTACGTGGAATGACCATCAGAAGAAATAGCGATTCCTGCATTCCAAATATAATGGAAGCTGCTCCGTAACCGAAGGTTTGTTGTCAATAGTTAAAACACTATTCTTTAGAATTGTGTTTTTTCTATTGAAAAACAAATCTGAGTTCCCTGACAATTGGGCAAAAGCTGCCTGAGATCAGTAATCCGTTACTTTCTGGTTACCTTTAGCTCTTCTCTCAACTCGTTATTTCTGGCTTATCAGTCGGTCAGTTTCTGTCATCGCCTCAGTCCGTCGGTCTGCCAGTCTGTCATTTACCGGTCAGTAAATCCCTGCCTCGTCTGTCATTTCGCTATCGCTCGTGTGCTGACCATATGTCGGTGTTTTGACGTCCCTCCGTACCTCATCTCGCCCACCCGTCATCCCTCTAGCAGACCGATTAGAACCCGTTCCATCATCTCAGCGGCCCACCGACAGATCTGTCAACCTGTCCATCGCTCCTCCGAGGCCGTTAGTGCTGCTCTCCTTCGCCAGTGGCGAGTCGGGAGTCGTGTTTCACTAGCCATGAGCAGTGAACAGTCTCCTGTCTCTGCTGTCTTTTGTCTGCTGCCGGCAATGCAGACTCCCTCGAGCCCTCGAGACTCGCGGCCCCTAAGGAGCCGGCGCTATGTCTGAACCGAGCAGAAGCCAGCGGCGAAAATGGTCCACTCGGTTGTGACATGGTTTGGAGATATCCAATGAAATTGTAGGCGGTAGATGACAGTGGATGGGTCTGTCGTGCTTTCAGAAGACACGTGGAAATGGAAGGAGGATTTGTGTTTTACATATCAGTGGTCTATTTTAATAATCCAACACACGTACTGTTTTGCTGTGAGGTTGAAAGGGAAGCCTTCTGAAGCTACATCTCGCCATTTTCCGTCATCGTTTGCCGTTTTTGCTGACGGGCCTCGGGGAGTTTCCGCCATGAATGAAGAGTCAGTTGACTCTGTCACATAGGTGTAGCAACGTATCTCTTTGGTGAAGGATACCTTTCACCAAAGTTTTAGATTGGTGAAGGATCCTTCACCAATCTTGAGCAATGCAGGTGAGGGTCTTCACCAATGCTGAAACGACTGGGTTCGACGGTCGATCTAATGTTAAAAAGAAAAGAAAAGCAATGCCGAATGGGATGAACAAAAAGGCTAAAACGGCAACAGGTACCCAATTACCCCATCCTTTCAGTTATGAAGCGTTATGCCCACCTTTTTCACAATTCACGCCATTTAATAAATGATAGGTAATATATAGGGGAAGTTGGGGGAACGCCGAATACTTTTTTCTGACGCCCGTAGCACGCAAGGTAGACAACATAAGCTATTCTTGTTGGCGTCATTCGAGAGGCCAGTCTTTTGCCTTTCAAACATACCAGGCGCATTTGATGAATTCGCATACCGTTAAGCGCGCAAACTAAAAATATCAAAGAAGTGACTTTTTCGGCGTTGCCCCGGACTGCGGGGAAAGCCGAAAATGGGAGAAATGATCTATGGGGAATGCCGGCATTGATGTTTTGCCACTTTATCTCAAACTTTATCCTGAATTTATCAAATCTGACACGCGTTTTAAGAGCTTGGGGACGCTTGGTGCACACTGGAAGTTATAATTGTGTGATATAATAAGAAAATGCCAGGTAAATAATTCCTTATAAGTAACAGGCCGTTGTGTCGGTTGAAAGTGCAATTTGTGTGATTAAAAATTCGCGTTGCTATTCTACAGCAGTAAAGTCCACTTAGCGTGCTTTAACGTGCGTAATTGCACGTTTTCGGCATTACCCCAGCCAGCCATACTTTCATTTGCAGGCCCATAACTTTTCAACGTGCCGTATAAATTTCAAATAGGCAGCACACTTATGCAAAGACATGCTGAAGATTACTTGACCGAATTGGCCAGACAAACGGTAGCATAATAAGTAAGAAATGCAGCTTCAAAGGCGCATGTAGTACAAGGAACGCGTACCTTGAAAACGCTCTTGGCGCCCTCACAGCCGAAGTATTCCGAATGACGACTCGTAACAAACATGCGATAATTGTAGTCACTTAAGCTTCAGAGCATCACTGACAGGTGGCATCCATGTCTTACGGTTTTCGAAATATCTCGAATTTCGGCTTTGCCCCAACTCCGGCATTGCCCCAACTTCCCCTACCAGTAAAACGCCTTTTGGGCGAAGAACGAGCGAGCGAGATAGTGAGCCCTGCACGTGCGGAAGGGCGAGAGGGTACTTCCAACGGGCATGTGCAAAGCACCCTTTTAACCGGTCGCTAGCGGTGTGCCAAATTTGAACGCAGTCGGCCCAGCCGTTCCTGAGATCTGGAAGCGGCATTCTGCACGTGCGCACGTGCAAACGGGGTCCAAAATGACTTTTGCACGGCACCCTACTAACCGGTCCCCAACCGTGTACCAAATTTGAGCGCAATCGGCCCAGCCGTTCTCGAGATCTGGAAACGCCCCCTGCACGTGCGCACGTGCAGTTAGCACCCTAACCGCAACACATGGGAATGCGTTGTCTGGTGGGTGCTTACTTGTATGCCAAGTTTCAGCGAAATCGCCCCAGTAATTACCGAGTTACTGAAATGGGAACAAATTTGGCACCTCTTCTTTTTGTATTTTGCACGTGCAGTGGGGGTCACTCACATAGATCAAGAGTATCCGACCTTTGGTAGAACGGATGCAGCTACCCTATAGAAATTACCGCAAGACAATCGCTCAAGCCGCTGCTGAGATATGGGCCTCTCAAAATCATTACTTTTGCAAAACTGCTTGAACACCCTTGACTTTTCACGTGGTACGTGCCACGACGGTCACTGAGATGTATCAAAAGTAGTCAATTACGGGGTAGAAGGGATGGGGTTACCCAGCAAAAAAGACCGCAAGCCAATCGGTCCAGCGGTTGCTGAGATATAAGCCTCTCAAAAGCGTTACAGGCCGGGCCGGGCCGGGCCGCTCATACTGAGATTTTTCCCTTATATTGAAAAGACTTCGCTTCGCTCGCTGCGCTCGCTCGCTCGTAAATACTGAACGAGGCCGGTGTAAATAAATTTTCAAGACCGAGGTCCTTACTGAATTTTTGAACGAGGCCGAAGGCCGAGTTCAAAAATCAGTAAGGACTGAGGCATGGATGAGATAATAATGGATTGGTGTCTTCGCAGTTTTTGGCGACATTGAGCTCAGGCCTGCCATCTAGCGGGAGAATTATCGTAAGTTAGGAGCAAGCCGAGTGAAAGCCGCTGATTAGCATTGTGACACATGGGAGTATGGTGTAGAAGCGGGCTTGTTGTGCAATTTTTTAAAAGGTTATGTCTTTATATGTCAGTAAAAGCGAAGAAATTAATAGATTTATGTGCAGGGTCAGTAATAAGATAAGCAGTTCCATGTTATTTCCTCATTAAATCGTGAAACAGGGAGTTATTGGAGACTTCGCCAGCACGTGTCGTTTTCGCTATTTTTCACAACAGTCTTTACTTGGCCTAAATCAAACAAATTGTCCGATCAAAGAACAAAACAAACGTTAAGTACTATCTATAAGTCTAATGAAAAAGTTGAACGGAATTGCTAACGTCATTGCCGCTCAATATGTCATTCAAGACGCTCTATGAAAAAGACCCAGCCAGTGCTGCGTAGTCGATGAAATTTCAGTGACTTTGGCTCCAACTCCGATTCTGGTATCCAAATATCGACTCCGACTCCTCCGGGCAGAACTGTCGATTCACACAGACTCCGACTCTGACTCCGACTCAGCAGCCCTGGTAAGTCTGTGGAGTCGATGACTTTTCGGTGACGTTCGACTCATACTCCGACTAAAGCTTTTAAAAATCAACCGACTCCGAGTCGGAACTGAACCGCTGGCTCTGACTACAACTCCGCAGCCCTGGCCCAAGATAGCCGCCTAAAACAACTTTGATTCGTGATCTTCTTCGTACATTGTTAATGTTATTTTAAACAAGGGGTAGAAAAGGGAGACGAAGCCTTCACAAACAAGGATCTCCTGTTGCGGATCAATCAGCTGCTGGAACAGAAAGGCATAAACACCACGCATCTCAGTTCAACGGTTTCCTAACGACTCTGCACCAATGTAAGCACTGATCAATGCAGTGCGAGCATCGATGTGACATTTGTGTACCAAGTTTGAGTGTTATCCGCCCAGCCGTTCTTGAGATATGGAAGCGGCACCCCGCACGTGCGCACGTGCAGTAGCACCCTCATAGTGACTCATGGAACTGCATTGGCCACTGGGTGCATAACTATTGACGAAGTTTAACTGTAAGGGGCCCAGCCATTGCGGAGTTACTTTATGTGGAGCAATTGCGATACCCCTAACTTGGCACGTGGCACGTACCGTAACAACCAGTATAACGCCTTATGGGGCGACTAACGGAGCGAGCGAGAGGGTGGGCCTTGCACGTGCGAAATTTCGAGGGGGTACCTCCAACTGACTTGTGCACGGCACCCTACTAACCGGTCTCTAGCGATGTGCCAAATTTGAGCACAATCGGCCCAGCCGTTCTAGAGATCTGGAAGCGGCACCCTGCACGTGCGCACGTGCAAAATGGGTCCCAGACTCCCAACTGACTTGTGCACGGCACCCTTCTAACTGGTCCCTAACCGTGTACCAAATTTGAGCGCCATCGGTCCAGCCGTTCTCGAGATCTGGAAACGACCCCTGCACGTGCGCACGTGCAGCAGCACCCCAACCCTAACACATGCAGATGAATTATCTGATGGAGACCTAACTGTGTACCGAGTTTCAATTCAATCGGCCCAGCCGTTGTGCCGTTATTGAGGCTGCAATTTTGGGGGTTCTTAAAAAATGTCCAACTTTACCACGCGCCACGTGCAGTGGTTGGCAAGAACGCATGGTGGCCATCACACCACAGAACTTTTACGTCCAAGTGACATTCAGTAAAGAAGACCGCTTGTCAATCGGATGTCCAGTTCCTAAGATATTAGCTTTTGAAGAGCGTCCCCACGGCCGGCCGGCCGGCCGCTCATACTCAGAAATTTCCGTTATTCTACGTAAGACTCCGCTCGCTTCGCTCGCTCCGTAATTAACTAAGATGAAGAAAATCGAGCGAAATTCGGAGAAGTAGGAATAAGCCTACCAAATATGTATGACATATTGCCAAACTGCTGTACCATTGTGAGTAAATGACCATTGAAAAGGTCGTACAAGCCGATGGGACTGGGCGTTTCAATACACACCGTCTTACGCATTTTATTTTCGTTATTACCTAAAGGCTGCTTGACATTTTTGGCTTTCAAGCATTTAAGACATTTTTTATCGGCTCAAGTCCAGTAATATTACCTCCAACTCGTGGGAATATGCACTTCAAGCCAACTAACACACCACACCCACGTGTGTCATAATGCTGAGAGATAGCGTTCACTCGGCTAGCTCCTAACTTACGATAATTCTCTCGCTAGATGGCAGGCCTGATCCCAATGTCGCGGATCCCAATGTTAATTTCCACGAGACACCAATCCAGTGTTATATCATCCATGACTGAGGTCTTGACAATTTATCACCGGTCGAGTTTGGTATGTATTTTACTGTATGCCAACGATAAAACAATTGTCTAGACCGAAGCTCTTAGCGGTTTTTTGAACGAGGCCATCCCAAAATGTTGACTTGGTAATGCATTTTTGACCGTGGTCACTTTGCTTACACCAGTTATTACCACACCCCTCTGGCTAATGTATTTGAATAGGCCAGGCATACAGTAAAGCCGAAAACTGTATTGAAGTTGGTAAACGTGTAAATGTGTCTCAGTAAATGCCGTGAATATCTAAATAAATTGGCTTGTTTTTACTCGTGGGAAAGTTGTAAGACTTTGGTCACGAAAAAATGCAGTGGAGCATACCTTTAGGTTCCAAAGGTATGCTTGGATGGTGGATACCTTTGGTAGGTATCCAAAGGTATGCTTGGATACCTAAAAATTCAATTTTAGGCATGTACTGAAAAGTTGACGTTAATTAGATGATAATGGCGTGAGACATTTGCGAGAAAAAAAAACAGGAGTTGGCGAAATCCCCCCCCCCTCCACTGCGGTAAGGTCCTGCACCCTCTCCGAAGGTTCAGGTGACATCCTTCACCAATATTTTTGGCGCTCCTACACCCATGCTCTGTCATGCATCACAGTCTCGACTGGCTCCGGATGGAATAGTGAACCCCCATTTGTCACGTGTATGGTTGGCCCGGGACCGGCGTCGGCACTCTGTCTGGTATCGACCCTCTGTGAGCTGTCATTAATTCACGGCGACCTCCAACTTGGACCGCCAGCAGCGGACCGATGACGTCACTGTTCGGTCCGATGACGTCATGTCTCTGTATTTCAGGCGGGAACACGGGCGGCAGCTTTAGCGTGAACAGTCCGGGAGGCATCGTGATCGCGCGGCCGCTGGACTGGGAGACGACGCCGGAGTACACGCTGAACATCTCGGCCACGGACGGACACCACGTCATCTATACGCCGGTAAGGGAGTAGTGGAGGGAGTAGTTGGGGGTAAGTTAGTCAACAAAGCAGAGTTTTCTACGAGACCAGTGGCGCATCTACACGCCGGTAAGGGAGTAGTGGAGGGAGTAGTTGGGGGTAAGTAAGTCAACAAAGCAGGGTAAACTACAAGAAACCTGCGGCGAGTGATGAAAGAAAGGTGAAAGATGAAAGACTGGATTTGAGAGTAATGTGGGTATGAGACTAGACATAGCATGGGTTGAGCTCTAGATGTGCGTCAATATGAGAGTTTTCGGCGGGAAACGGATGGACAAAGAGTTAGCTGACAGCCGATGGATGGCAGGAGCTGATGATGTTGCTTAAATTGCGTCATGGAAACATGCTTACCTTAAATTGTGTCATAGAAACATACATGGGAATGCAGTTGGCGCAAAGGAGTTTCGTTGTTATGACTTACTTTCCAGCGGGTAGCAATATTACTTATCATCAATACGAACTTTACGGCATCATTAATGCCACATTTGCATGACATTACCATCGTCACTTGATGTCACTGTGGTGCCTGTTTATTTCGGTAATGCCACTATCAATAAATGTGGTCAGTTAATCACCTCTGGCCGACATTACCTCGGTGGACATTACAACGTTCGATGTACTGTAACATGATTGATAGTATTCCACACAAGTAACGGTGTTGCCTTGCTGCCCGGCCCCTGCCGCATTAAGGGTAATTAACAGTCGTTTGACATTATCGTAGACCCCCCAGTGTAACAGTTGCAGTGCTCACAATAATAGTAGAGTAATCAGCCGGTCTCGTGGGTCCAACCGTCAATTGAGCGTGATTTCTATTGAAACGGATCACGCCATTCCGTAGATGTATGGCATCACGAGGAAATGGCTCCGCAGTGGACCGAACCCGGCTGCATGACATTTCTCCACTAATAACTTGTTGAGCGAATTGGCTGCTGGGCTATTAGGGGGAAATTGCTTTGATCACAATGTAGCCGTTAGTTTGAATTGGCCTCGGCTGTGCGACTGAGCCGGTTTCAATGTCGCCTAATGCGCTATTGACGCCGTGGTCTGACTACTGATGGACAGTTAAGGGCCTTATCATCGAGTTCTAATGCATGGACGGAGGCGCGGCGCTGCTCTGCTCTGCTCGGTGTGATTGCCGGTGCCGAGAGGCGGCTCAGTTGACCCGCTGTGCCCGGCTCTCTCGGGCAGTGGTGAGACGACAGCCTGGTGGTTCCATTGTTCCATTAGCCGGACGCGGCCCCGGCCTGACCCAGTTCGATAGGAGGTGCAGCCTCACAGCCAGCAGACACAGGTCACAGGGTGGACCGAACTTGACCACGTGCCGAGCGACAGGGCTGATAGTCAAACGAGGCGCACTTGTCAACAACTCTGGGCAGCCCTCTCACCGATGTGTTGTGGGTTATGTGGCTGGTTTATCGTCTTGGAATGGTGCGCTAAAGTGGATGTTTTCCTCCCACCGAAATATGTTTATTGATTGATGCTATTGCCAGTTTCCCTGAAGCAACCGAAGCTGTCTCGGTCACGTCTTTCTCGAGTTGGCGATAAATCTATAATGAACGGTTTGGGAAGCTTTTTTGTCGAAATAGCCTTTTTTCGACGCACTCCTGCGAAACTTGATTTACCACTCCATTCACGACTGATTGGATTTAAAGCTGCGATGCGACGAACGTGCTTCGGATTAAGTTGTTCCATTCCTTGCTCGCATCGAGCGACGTCGCGCATTTGACAGCGTCGAAACGTCCGCTCAAAGCTGCTTCTTCAAAGCTTGTTGCCCTTCATCTTGTAACCCGTTTAGTTCACAGTTCAGGGCCCAGCAGCTTCACAAGCGACTTCCTAGAAACATGTGTGACAAGGTTTTCCGTAGAATGTCGATATATCATTGGTGACAAGCATCATCTCAGTCGCGGCGAATCCCGTGACCCATCAATGAGACGTTGCGTTTTGCTCCACGACACTTCTTACTTACTTTGCCTAAATATCTCACTCAGGTCAACTCTCCTCTCCTCTCCGTTGTCACCTTTTCCACTGGCCCTGCTCCCTGCCGCTGACGGCTGTCCCGCCCCTTCCCGACCCGCGGTGTATTCTCCCGGAGCCTCTCCGACGTCCGGTCGGTCCGGAGTTCACCATAGGCGACCGACGACCTCACTCTTGTCAGCCTGTCCGTCCTCTGAGTGATGAGGAACCTGACCGACAGCCACGGTAGACTGACCTCACACCCTGAGAGGAGAGGCGGGCCCTGTTCAGACCGACCCGTGCGTGCTGCTGACGCTCGGTAGCTCATGTGGGCGGCGCCGGCTGGCCGGTCAGTGGGTGTCGGATATTCTCGGCTAGCACGTGAGGCGAATTTCCAGTCCTGCCGAGTGGCTGTGTGTGATGATTGAGCTGTAGGGCCGGGCTGGGCAGTGAGTGGTCCGGCGTTATCTGCACCGGCACACACCGCGTGGGTGTTAGAGCTGTCGGGCCCAGCCGTCCGGGAGCGGCGGCCGATGCCGCTTCCCGGTCCGTCGCCTGTCACTGAGCAGGCAGCGGCGCCGGAGGGCGCGGTCTCTGTGGAGTAACCCGGTCCGGGTCGACAGCGCTCGAAAGGCCACTGTCTGTCGGGGCCGCTGTAGCCACCGACTCTGCCGGCGGCCCAGGTGTCACCGGCGGATCAGCCCAGAGCTGGCGGACTCGGCCGGAAGGTCAGCGCTGCTGCCGCCGCCGGCCCGCGGAAGGTCAGGTGTCGCCTCGCGCCAGGTAATGGTGCGATGAGCGCCACCAGCCGCGCCCAGACGCCAACGGTAGAGCCCGCCCGGCCGGCGCTAATGCCTCGTGAGCGATGGGCGGTCCGGGCGGGGCCGGGATTTCGAGGTTAGGATGTAAGGAATGTGTCATTCTGCGGTGATGTGATCTGATCTTCCTGGAATTTCGACCAACCTTTGCGCCCGTTGTGTCGGTCAGGGCGCAGTTTGGTTAAAATTGAATAGGTGCTTCAAGTGAGGCCGCCGTAAATCTCCAGCAATACCATGATTTTCTCATAACCTGCGGCCAGCTTAACATTTCATTCAATCTCTATAATTTGCCACGTTATTTCTGTAGCGAGTGGACGCTCGGTGGGCGGTGTTATTTCTCCGTAAATCAATTTAGCATCAGCCACCGTCCGAGCGCCGGACGCTCGTATTTTAGCCTCTGCCCTGGGGCACTCTGGGTATAAATCCAAACCACCGCCCTTCGACCGGGCGATCCGAACCCCGCAGCGCCTCCACGGCCAACTAATTCGATGTTATCATTCGCCCGGCGTGCGCTGCCGTGTGGGGGTGTAGGTAGGCGCTGTGGCCGGCTCCGGGTAGCGACAAATTGCCAGGGGGATGGGCGGGGAGGTGGGAGTGTGATTCGTTGGGGAAGGTTTTTGGGACGTTTTATGTGGTTAGTTAGGGAGTACAGCTGAGCGATGCGCTTCGTGAGATGTTTTTACAGTGGGGAAATATCTGAAGGGCTTTATCCGGCGTTTATGATGAGGTTTTCCGTGGAAAACTTTAATTACTTTCAGCATCGTCAGCAGCATTATCGTTATCTTCGTCGGACTCATAATGAAGCCGAAAGGCATGAAAATGGCGGTGTTTCAGGAAACCTTAACTCCATTGTAAACCTACACCACAATGAACCATTCTGAGCTAACAGCTAGCAAGACTATGTAGCATTGTACTTCGCACATTCTTATCCATTGTGTTTCTGTGAATTACAATCTCATCTGTACCGCCCAGTGCGCCCCGCCGACTGACCCCTCCCCCTCCCCTCCCTCAGCTCCACATCTCTGTGATGGACCTGAACGACCGCGAGCCGACCCTGAGCCAGCGGCTGTACTCGGTGAACGTCTCGGAGGCTGCCGAGCCGGGCCGGCGGCTGGTCAGTGTGGCCGCCCACGATCCGGACGGCGAGGCCACGCTCTACTACGGCCTGGAGGCGGCGCAGAGCGAGCGCTCCCTGCAGCTGTTTGCCATCGACTCGCTGAGCGGACGAGTCACCGTGGCCGAGCGACTCGACAGGTCAGTGGGGGGGGGGGGGGGGAGGGGGACGAGTCACCGTGGCAGAGCGCCTCGACAGGTCAGTGGGGGGGGGGGGACGAGTCACCGTGGCCGAGCGACTCGACAGGTCAGTGGGGGGGGGGGGGGGACGAGTCACCGTGGCCGAGCGACTCGACAGTTCAGTTGGGGTGGGGGGGGGGGGGGACGTATGTGTATGTCGGGGTGACCTACCATTTCCCTTACCATAGTGTGGGCTGTGATCCGGGCTGTCCAATACCAACCAGCATACATAGTTTCAGAAGTCAAGGGCTTCAATCCAACCACACTTATTTTCAGATTTCAGAGCTCAAGGTCTTCAGTCTACACTGGGCCGACCATCACACCATACCGCTATCACTGTCCTGACCACTTCTTACCACCTCACTTACAGTCACTGACAGCATTGTTAGTTGTTACAGGGCTGTGGTTTGTGGGCGTATTGAGGCTTGTTAAGCTCATGCCGTGTTGTTGGTTTTACTTCTCGTTGATTGGACTCACACTGGTGGCTGTTGAAATCAGACTATAAAACTGAGATAAAAACAGCGAACATACATCAGGAGCGCACGTCTTGTTAGCTCGTCATCACGAGCTGTAATCCCGGCTCCCGCTCTAGGATTTTTCCTCGTCACAGCAACGATCGGGGTAAGACGTGCCTGATCAGGTTATTTTCGGCTCCCTGTTACCTGTCCCTACCTTCAGTGGCAATGAACTGAGGGTTATTGACCCGTAAATCAGGGGGACTTAGGCCTGTGATGGACCAGGGCCTGTTACCGGCGGTTCTTCGTTCGTTTGCATCCTTTTCCTGGAAACATGTCAAGAAAGTTGTTTGTCAACCTCAAAGGAACAGGAAAGTAGGCAGTAAGAAGACTGTGAGCTTTTGTGATGCAGTCAAAGTTGACTGAAAGTTGAAGAATGTTTACCATCTATTTTATTGCGAATGTTTCGAAAAGTTGCCGCTGTATCATCAACGTTTGCACGAATATGTCATCCTTCATTGCCTCCATTGTCTTTTATGTCGAACTATTTTTTTACCATATCGGACAAAAAAAACGCATGAAAGCATGCAACTCCACTCCTCTGTGGCAACTCTGACCTCCTCCTCCCCTCTCTCCATTACAGAGAGACGGAGCACGAGCACGTGCTGACGGTCTCAGTGCGCGACCAGGGCACGCCGGCGCGGCGCGACTACGCCCGGCTGCTGATCCACGTGACCGACGAGAACGACCACGGTCCGACGTTCCTCAGCGACCTGGTGGTGGGCCAGGTGCCCGAGACTGCTGCCGAGGGCACCCAGGTGGTCACCGTGCTGGCCACGGACCGCGACCACGGCGAGAACGCGCGCGTCACATACTCCATACAGTCCGGTGAGTGAGGGGAGAGGAAGGATGAGAGGATAGGAAGAGAAGGGAAGACCAGGGGGTGGGGAGAGAGGGGTCTCCAATACCAGCAGCTGAGAACTTGGGCTGAGCGATCTCGCTGTTGAAGCTTATCATTGAGTAGCTGAAACTGGGGCGGGGACTGCGACCCGTCTACGAATAGCCCACTCGCCAAGCTGTGATATTGTACCGCTGCAGCATACACCTCATAAGCCGGGCTTCAGCTGGTAAATGACGACCTTTGGATCGCGTGTGAGCGTTGCCGTCGCCTCAAACGCCCCGTTATTGTATCCCGAATCCTGATAGGGACTGCCACCTCTGCGCCGAGTTCAGAGGTCGTTTGGGCCCACAATAGCCGCATACCAACGCCGGGTTTCCGTTCAGAGGCGACTGAGTGGTACCGGCTATGCTCGCGAGATGTGAGGTTATTTTCGGCGGGCCGCTGCGACCTGTTGATGCATGGACTCAAGTGGGGAGGTTTGCTCTCTGGGGACTAAGGCTGGGCGGCGGTTGCGTAGTCGCGTTTCGAATAGGAATAGTGTAATATTTTAGGCGGGAACGGAGGTTTACATAAGGCCGGAATAAAGTCCTGTGTTAGGTACTACCTATTGATAGAGACACTTAATCATTTACTGGTGGAGTTTGTGCAAATGCGTGTCGCGTTCAATTGAACCCTGGGTTACAAAATTGTCTTGACTTCTGACAATGTTGATCTTTAGTATTGAGACAAATTGGCCCTATCAGATGCCACACTCTAATCGCATTTCACATTGAGCCAATTGAGATGCCATTGAAGTTTCCAACCAATCTAGTCGATTATCGCTGTCACGGCTCAATAGGGTCGATGGGTGTCGGCTTATATTACCGTCACCGCCAGCTAACTGCTGATGTCATGTTGGGGGCCGTGGGGGGGGGGGGGGGTCACGTCCTGACGGGCTGTACGGCGTCACTCTGTCCTTTCAGTGTCCCGCCCGGGCCGGATGACGCCTCTGCCCCGCTCCTCTCTCTTGCCAGCTCTCTCCTGCCCTCTTCCCCGCTCTCTCCCCTGCCCCCTCCTCCCCCGCCGGGGCCTGTCGCGATAGTTTGTCGCCGACCAGCTAATTCGTCCCGACATTAACCGCGCCTGCCACGATATTGGCCGCCGCAAAGTTGGCGATGAGCCGAGTCGACAAATTACCTCCGGCGTCGCGACCGGTCGCCGCCGCCGAGCGGGCCAATCGTGTAATGGCGCCGGCGTATGACGGCCCGGTGACACTCGCAGGCGGTCAATTTCACGTCTCGGTGGCGGCCGGCGGCCCCGGCCGCGCCGTGTCACCGCCGTATCCGCGGCAACTTGCTCCGGTCGGGCGGCGGCCGTGTCTCTCCGGCCGGAAAACTGGCGGCTCTGATGGGCCTGACGCCTCCGGTGGGACCAATGGGTTATCGGCGCCGTAGTCAGGAGCGCCCAGAGCGCCCGCGTCCGGGTCAGTGGTGACGCCGACGGGTCAGCCGGTGCCGGCCTGACGTGTCGCTAATTGAGAAACTCGGCCGCTGATATTTAGTGGCGTCGTGCTGAGGCGATATCGGGATATTGGAAAGGGCGGGCATGCGTTGAGAGCGATAACTAAAAAAGTTGCATGGTCTCATCGGGGAAAGTTCAAGTCCGTTGGCCGTTAGGTATATCTGCCCCGCCCAGGTAATTTAAATGCACCGCTTGATAAGCGGTGATTCCGCAACGAATCTTGATTTGTGGCCGTGAAATATTTCACGCACCGCGCAGATTATGACCTATAAATCACAAACCTAACGACCTTGTGCCAGAAAGGCCCACCTTGTCTTTAGCCTCCCGGGAAAGAGGCGGTATCTCACTCTACTCGCCTTGTATTATCTCCAGCGCTGGATATCAACTCCCCCTTGCGTGCGGCGGTGCCATCTTTCACTTAGCGCGTGTAGCTCGCTGGCACAGACGCGCCTTTATCGTCGCCCGACGACCGGAGACTGACGATGTCTTTTTATCGACGGCGATTTGCAGCCGTGTCGTTTTTGCTGCAATGTTTCATCGGTGGATTGATTGTCGTCCCGCCGCCTCTATTGGCCCGCGGCGGCTCTGGGGTGTCCTCTTGTTCGACACAGCGCTGGCTGTCGCGCTAATTGGTCGGCGGCCAGCTACCCTTCGGCGGTCATTAATTAATTAATTAATTAATCTTGGCTGCGGGTGGACGCCGTCATGGCCGGGTGTTGGTGTGACAGCTGCTGTGACGGATGGGTGCGGGGGATGGTCTCTCTCTCTCCTCTGTGGGCTGGCTGGACTCGCTGGTGAAGTGTTGGGCTGGTGAGGTCGGTCGGCCGGTCGGGAGGGCGGGTCGGTGGTGGGTAACGCCGATCGCTGCCTCGCGTGCCGGCTGAGGACGTCGCGACCTTCGGACGGACAGAACAGGCTGGTAGAGAGGCACGCAGACAGGCAGACTGACACGACGGAGACGGACGGACAAACATGGAGATATAACCAATACACTCAGACCCAAACAGAGCACAGGGACGGAAGCTGATTCGGAAATAATACGCGCATACATATACCAACAAAGAGACATACGAACCGACAGACAGACACGGAGACAGACAGGCGCTTACCGAGATGCTTGGCACGCATGTAGCAACAAGCAGACAGTCACACAAACACTGGCAGACACGGGGGCAAATACAGATAAGACGCAGACGTGCAGACAGGTGGCTCCGACGGACAGACATGGGATGGATGACCGGCCATAGGAGATAGACCGAGAGAGGCCGGGGAAGATGGACCGGGGGATCTGCCCCAATATTATTGATGGTCGGTTAATCTTCCTGCTGGCGGCTGCATTGTATCCGGGGCCGATATGACCTCATCCGTCCTCGATCTATCGGGATAATACGGACGCTATTGTCATTCCATGTGTTCTTACAAAACACGGTTCTTATCAATGTTAATGAGACTGGCAAAAAGTGACTGTGGTCATTTTTTGTGGTTATATAGATAGGAGAAGCTATGTCAGTAATGTAATGCGTCGCGTCAGAGATGCTGCAGCCTGCATTCGCTGAGGCTGTAATATGGCGAGTGCTTTTCGTAACCTTTTGAGACCGGACACACGAGATTTGATGGAAGGCTCAGAGCCCAGGCTTCTAGAAACGAGGCTGTTTCGAGAAAACACTGATCTTAAAATCATGACCATTGAAATGTTCATCCACTTGCAACATTACTTGAGCTATATGAGTGCTGGGGATTTTACTTATCCGGGCGTGAGATGTCGCATTGCACAAATGATGTGACAATCCTTATCGTCGCTTTTCGGAATTGTAACGATAGCGTTGTTGACATACTTAAACCTCGTGAACTCTCAATAGCACTGCAAAGTCCAACTGGAAGGCTTTACAGATAAGGACCAGCACACTCGGGACATCCGGACGAGTAACCTATTTAGTCAGCAGGAACTAAGCATGCTTCGTCATACCTTCCCAACTTCCTTATGAATATTTAATATCTTAGTGCGGATATCCTTTACACACCCTTCATCGTTGTCAAAATGATGTGATGCTTTAAGATGAGCTGACTACCGTGTAAGACACCTAGGTCTTTTGAACTTTGTCCCACTCCTCACTGTGAAAGGTCCCCTTTGATTAAAGACTCTTCCTCACCGGACTCGACCTCCTCACGGCCCCACTTACCGCTGCATCTCTCCCTTCCCCAGGTAACGTGGACAACGCGTTCCGCGTGGACCCCGTGCAGGGCACGGTGGAGGTGGCCACGGCTCTGGACCGGCGCCGGACCAGCGAGTACATCTTGACCGTGCGGGCCAGCGACGCCGGCCGACCGCCGCGACATGCCGAGGTGCACGTCAACATCATCGTCACGCTGCCGGACAACGCGCCGCCTCGCTTCGAGAAGGTGAGTAGAGCCAGCTGGAGGAGGCGGCTGGGGGAGTAAGGATGGATGAATGGAGGTAGATACCGATTTGTGGATGTTTGTGGTCGTACCTGAGTTTGTGGGTCGGTGTTGGTAAGCCTGACAATGAGTGATCGTTCAAGGTCAGTGTTAATGGTTTGTGTGCGTGTGTGTCTGTACACGTATGTGCGTCCATTTACAGCTAAATCGCCGGTGTGATCGGAGCGGCCCGACTTTTGATCATATCGCCCCATTAGCATCTGTACCTATATGAGCGGCGATATGGTAGGTAGTGGAGATCTATCTGAACTTGCGGTGCGTTGGCTGGCGAACCACCTGTGGCGCGGACCGATCAGACAGTTTCGGCTGGTGGGGCTATAACCGACCGACTGCAAACTTCGGTCGAACTTCCCCCATCCCCACCCCCCACTCCCCGCCGCCGCCACCACCATTGAGTCCATTGTAATGAGATTGCTGCTCGGCCGGGCCTATTCTGTTTCCAAATGAGCGGTCACATTAAGCTCGTTTAACTAATGCTGATAGTTGGATTCGGACGGATTTCGGTCGCCAAGAGCGCCAGACGCCGGCCGGACTCAGCAGGTCACGGCCGGACAGGCGGGGCTGATTGCTAATCGATCTCTTCGCGGATAGAGCGGATTTTGTTGTCGGCGGATCTTCAGCTATTGAATGTACAATATTGACCTGTTCTGCCCTAGTTGCGTTGTGGGTTTCCCCAAGCGATGGTCTATTGTGGCTCGTGCCTGGCTTTGGAGCTTGTTAATGTCGTGCTAAATTGTCTCGTAATTCCTTACACGGTGTAGCGTTATGTAACGCTATGTTCTGTGGTGTTATGCGGCGCTGCGCTGTTCCTGGTTGGTTTCCGGCGCACCATTGTTCAATAGCAGCGCGGTGGTCGCAGTAGCGGTGCTGTCGTTTCATTTGTCGCTGGAGGGCGGCCACAATCAGTGAGCGCGGTACTCGGCACGGCGGACAGGGGAACGCTCTTACCGGACACTGTGTCGCCGGCAGTGGGACGATCGACGGGCCTGTAACCGGCTGTCGGTGCCGATTGGCGCGTCGTGTCCGTCTGGTCTGGTCGGTCTGCAGGGTGGTGAGAGGAAGGGGGTATCGGGTAGGAGAGAGAGGAAGAGACAGATAGACAGACATACATATAGACAGCAAACTGACAAGCATACTTACAGACAGGCACAGAAAGTTAGAAGGGCCGTCAGACACTCGGGCACGCAAACAGACACTCGGGCACACGCCACACGGATAGACACAGGTAGACCCACAGACAGACAAGACGTGCAGAAACAGACAGCCAGGCAGACATTTTGATCGAATACAATACATATTGTCCGCCTTAGGCGGTATACGCCCGTCCCGGAGGTCATCTCTCACCGCAGGTCGATCGGTGAGCGGCCCAGTGGGACCGTCAGGATGCTGATCACTGGTGGGCCGACTCGCCGTCCGTTTGTGTATCCGCTACCCCTCCGGGACGGAGGGAGGGCACACCACTTCCAATAATCGTCGCCCAGGGACGCGGCGGCGGCCGGCGGCTGTGTTCGTTACGGGCTCGGCGGCAGTCGATGGCACTCACTCACGGCCAGGTGTGGGAGGGAGGGAGCTGCCGGCGCGCCCTGCCGCGGCCGCGCCCCGCAGTCTGACGGCCGGTCCGCGGGTCAGGGGCAGTCTGGCACACTCCCAGTATCGGGCGCGGGGTCAATGGTGTCTGGCCGTTAGGAGGCGGCGCTAATCGGTGTTATTGCTTCGATGAATTTGAAATGAATTAATACAATTAGGCTCTGAAAGCATTGTAGGAGTAATTCGCCGTTTGTGAGACATTCAATTGCCAGTTGCTACAGGTGCTGTCCGTTACAGAACAGTAGGCTGGCTGTTTAGGCCCATTCAGTTGACAGATCGCCACTGCCTCCCTTGGTCCGCCCAGCCATTGTCTTCCTTCTCCCACCGATCTCTCGGACCTTCTATGACGTGGCCCGGGCTGGGCTGGAACGTTTGACTGACCCTCGCCCGTGCCCGAACCCATTAGCCCCACCCTGCCCGAGGTGCGGCCACGGCAGACCGGCGTGGCGTGCGCCGCCCGCCCGTTGACCTTGGCTCAGCCCGTACTTCGGCCGCCTATATGGGATGCTTCCTTGCCGATGCTGTCGGAATCATGCACGTCATGAGATTTAGGGCCGAATGAATGACGTGATTCGCGCTGGTGTTGAAAACGGCGCGGGCGGTGAGTGAGGAGCGGCTCGTTTGTTCCTGGCCGGGACGCGGAGCTTCCGCAATGGAGGGACGATGGGCCGGGAAGCCCCTGGTCGCCACAGCGCCAAGCTTCTGAGCTTCTCAGCGTCGGAGCTAAGCCTCCGAGCTAAGCCCCGAGCTGAGCTGTCGGTCGGCCGGGCCGCTGGAACAGTCAACTGACAAACTGTCGTCAACTGTGGTCCCAGAACCGCTGCGCCGCTGGTCTTACCCGATACTGGATGTCATATCCACCGCTAGAATCTCCAAACTGTACGGAAGTGTCAAACTGCTAGCCGGGCGGCAGAGACGGCCGTCTAGTGACCGTCTGTGACGGTGAACTGTGTAGCTGACTGGGCACGTTATTGGAAGTCGGTTAGTAAATCCAATCACCGGCGGCGTTAGCCTACTGGGTCGTTTCCGTTCGGGGATCAATAGCGCCCGCGGGCGGACGGACGGACGGGCAGCAGAGGATGTTTTCACCGGGCAGGTACAATGGGGGGCTCTGTCGGCGGCAGCGGACCCGGCTCGCTACCGGGGCGGCTATTTTCGGCCGCACGATCAACGGACGAGACGCGCAGGACTGGCAGAGAAATGGGACAGCCACGGGGGCTTCCGGTGCGCGGAAACTGACTGGGATTGTTCACTTCACACTTGTCAATATGCTGGTTTCCGTGGAGTTTTGTATTCATAAAGTTATCTCTGTGTTGGTCTTTAGTGTGCGCGATTGACGTTTTCTATAGTGCGTTTGGTCCCATAATGACCTTGGCTTGTTGTTTGGCCTACGGTCTGCCTCATTTTGTTATTCTGCGCTCATAGTGAATGAATTAGCCGGTTTCCGTTGGACTAGTTGCCATTCTGTGGCCGTAGAGAGCCGAGCGGCGAGAAAACGATGTTTTTGACGCCCACTTTGTGCCGTTTGTCCGTGTTTTGGCTCGTGGAGACTGCGGCGTAGAGTGATGCAGTCAGCACGTCCAAAGAAACCACATTGTGCGCCGTTTTCCTTCCTGTGAAATGAAATTATGTGCTGTGTTGGTATCGCGGGCATGCTGTTTCCATACATGTGCCCGTAGATTACAAGGTGTGACCGACTTGCTTTGTAGTGCTGAGAGGCCTTTGTTGGATGCCTCTCTCTCTCTCTCTCTCTCTCTCTCTCTCTCTCTCTCTCTCTCTCTCTCTCTCTCTCTCTCTCTCTCTCTCTCTCTCTCTCTCTCCCTCTCTCTCTCTCTCCATCTTTTATTTTTCAATCCTCTTCTCTTACCTCGTTCTCCATAGGTACGTTGAATACCAGGACAGGATACCTTCAGGACGTAAGCCGCTCAACTTACATAGTGCCTCCTAACTTTCATTATCACAAAGCCTAGCGAACCGTGGCGCTTACACGGCCTGCTTAAAACTCGGCTATTATCCATAACTGTCGCCCAGTGTACCATCTCCTACTGCAGAACGGTCATTCCACGTCCAACCATACCCACACGGTTGAGTCTCCTATCTCGTTCTTCCGTGTCTCTGGCAGGCTGAATACCACGGACTCTTTCTTTTAGTTCGCTGGTGCCTTACAGATTGAGTACATGCCACTGAGTCGCTTGTTTCTTCCTTCCGCATCTCTCACAGTCCGAGTGCCAACAAGTAAGTGGCACTCGGAGTCCTCTGTTCCTTTCTCCCGTGCCTGGTAAACTGAGTACCACTGACTGCTCTGTCCTTTTCTCCAATCTCTGGCAGACTGAGTACCACTGAATGCCCTGTGGCGCTCTCCGTTTCACTGACTCCTCTATTCTCCCCCGTTCTCCCTCCACAGGCCGAGTACGGTGCTGAGGTCGAGGAGGACTGGGAGCCGGGCACCCACGTGCTGGACGTGATGGCCCACTGTAAGACGGCGCTCATCTACCGGCTGGTCGGAGGGAATGAGGACGGCGCGTTCCTCCTCAATCCCGGCGCCGGGGTGGTGACCGTCAACGAGAGACTCGACTACGAGCGGAGGACCTGGTACAACCTCTCCATCCAGGCCGTCAGCATGGTGAGTCGAAAGGGGGATATCGTCTCCAATTAGGGCCACAAGTGTGGTGAGAAAGGACACAAGTCCCTTGGAGATATGAGAAGGGTGATGATGGGTAGGGTAGGGGAGGGGCTGGTAGCGGTAGTGTTAAAATGGTTGCTGTAAGTGGCTTACGACTCCATAAGATGCAAGCGCTGGGTCTGAGGAAGCCGTGAGCTGTATTTTCGTTACATTCTTTATCGTGGCTGTGTTTAAATATCGTTCCTATGTGCGTGTGCCTGTGTTCACTGGAATTGAGTCCCGTTTCATATAGCAAAATACATATCATGTTACATCCACTTTCTTGACATTTGCTTTTATCGTGACAACATGAGACTGGTTTTCCGGTGCTGCTACTCTCTCCTCTCTGTCTTCTCCACATCTCTTCACCGTCACCCCCCCCCCCTCCCCAGGTCGGCGAGGTGGCACACACTAGCGTCATCATCCACGTGCTGGATGTGAACGACAATGCGCCGCGACTGGAGCAGGCGTCCTACGCGGGTCGCGTGCTCGAGTCGGCGCCGGTCGGCTCGGCCGTTCTGTCCGCCACCGACGGACAGCCGCTGGTGGTCACTGCCATCGATACCGACGATAACAGCAACGGGAGACTCGAGTACAGCATCGTGGAGACGGCCGTGAGACGCTACATCAGCATCGACGCCGACTCCGGTGAGCTGGTGGGGTTGAAGAAGAGTGGGAGGGAGGTTGGAGAGAGATAGGATGGGATGGGTACGCCAAGAGATTGTTGTGGAGACGTCAAAAAGGTGTGGGAGAAACGCCGTGTGGGAAAGGAAGGAGCTTGTGCCTGAAGGTGTCTAAGTGAAAGCTGAAGCTCAACTTTTGATTAGGTGGAATGGGCTTATTGGGGGGAAAAGATCACATGTGATGATTTGGTCATATTTGGTAGATTTGCTTATATCGAAGAACGTTTCCTTGATATTACTGCGACATTATCCACCGGTGACCCACTCCCGTTGACTGACCCCTCGTGACCCCGGCAGGCGTGCTGCGGACGGCGGCGTCGCTGGACCACGAGACCCGCTCCGAGTTCGAGTTCACGGTGGACGTCTGGGACCGCGGCCGTCCGCGTCTGCAGGCCGTCCGACCGGCCCGCGTCAAAATCACCGTACTCGACGTCAACGACGAGTCCCCGCAGTTCTCCCACGCCCAGTACAACTTCACCGTGCTGACGCCCAGCTATGACGGCGTGGAAGTCGGCGTCGTCACGGCCGCCGATCCTGACACGGCGAATCTCAGGTGAGCTCAGCGGGTGCCGTGGAATGTCCGGTCGTGATACGGGGAGGTCACGATATGTGGTGTGAGGGCGCAGAAATGGGGGTCGGTGGGTCGGTGCCTTTTCCTGGTGTACCTAGGCATTATTTTCTCTGTTGATGTGGATCGTTTGCTGGTTATATGTGTTTATGGGCAAGACTGTTTGTAGAAAGAAAACATTGACTTGAGGGTCATGGTCACGACTCCAAATGCTACAAACTACGTGCCTACTTGTGGTTTGACAAACCCTCGGTCACAACTCTGCTGTGCGTCTGTCTGCTGTTCTGACTGTACCGTCTGTAACCACCCACCCCCGTCTCCGGCAGCTACTCTCTGTCCGGCGCCGACGCCTCTCTGTTCTCCCTGGACCCCGACTCGGGCTCACTGCGGGTGCTGCGGGCCGAGTCAGTGCGTCCGCTGGCCAATGTCACGGTCACCGCCTCGGACGGAGCGCACAACGCCAGCACGGCGGTGGTGGTCCGCAGCAGGGAGGTGGCCAGCAGGGGGCTGGTCTTCACCAAACAGCACTTTTACGGCGAGGTGCGCGAGAACAGCTCGCGCGTCGATATCGTCGCGTCGCTGTCGGTGCGAGGAAACCAGCTGATGGAGCACCTGGAATTCCGGATCCTCAACCCGTCGCCGTATTTTGTGAGTATGAGCTGGGGAGAGGAGAGGAGAGGGGAGAGGTGGGAGACCCGGTGAAGTGTTTCGTTAACGGCGGCCTGTGATGTTTTGTGAGAGCAGACCTGTTTGTTGGCTTTGCGTAGATTGTTTGAACAGCACGAGCTATTGAGAGCGGACAAAGCGCGTTCAAAGTTCCACAAACTGTGCTCAAAGTAAAACTTCTGTGAACTTTGGGGCCAGTGTGTCAAACTGCCTAACTAAACTCGGCTCAGTGCGTTCGCTGCTTTGGTCAACGCAACCGAGCGTCCAACTATTACAACTCCTCCGAACCCACTCGGTGTTTAACCGCCTTCTGAGTGTGTTAGATTCCCTCCGCACATTCACAGAGTGTCTCTTACCCTCTGACTCCCCCCCCCCCTACAGAGCATCACCCGCACGGCGGGCGTGGTGCGGACCACCGGTCTGGTCCTGGACCGCGAGCAGCAGGACCAGCACGTGCTGGCGGTCCAGGTCCGCAGCGACCGGGACGGACGGGTGGCTCACACCCTGCTCCACTGTACTGTGATGGATGTGAACGACAACCGACCCGTGTTCGTGGGACAGCCCTACCACGCCGTGGTGGCCGTGGACGCGTCGGCAGGAGCGCCCGTCACTAAGGTGGGGTAGAGGGGGAGGGAGAGAGAGAGAGAGAGAGAGAGAGAGAGAGAGAGAGAGAGAGAGAGAGAGAGAGAGAGAGAGAGAGAGAGAGAGAGGGAGAGAGAGAGAGGGAGGGAGGGATGGAGAAAGGGGTATTGAGTGAATGATGAAAGGTGAGGAGAGCGAGAGACTGGATGCATGTACTGCCGTGTATAAATTTGAGTCTGTAATTGGTGAGGTGTTTGCGTGCCTACGTTGTGAAGATGAAAGGAACTGGAACGGCCTTTGAAGCCTCGCGAGCAGTGATGCAGCAATGACGTTTACTGCGAGTGGGTTGTCAGTGCCAAAGTGGTGTGTGGAAATGGCAGCTCGCGACTCCTGCATACGACGACATTTACCATACATTTGCGGAATTTATAATTCACTTCGCATCGCTGCCGCTAATTCTGCTTCGCCTTTCATTCTTGCGGATCCGACTGCCTCCTCTAGCTCATCTAACCTCACTTCTCACCACACGTCGTCTCACCTTTACCCCTCCCCCTCAGGTGACGGCCGTGGACGCTGACCTGGGTGAGAACGGCCAGGTGCACTACGACCTGCTCCGAGGGAACGGTGACCTGTTCGCGGTTGACCAGCTGAGTGGGGCCATCACACTGCGCCGCAGCCCCCGCGGAATGGACACCGCCTTCAGGCTGGTGGTTACCGCGTATGACGGAGGTGAGTGGGGGTCGGGAAAGGTTTGGATCGTAGCGGATGGAAGTAGGGGTAGAGAGGGAAATAGTGTGTTTAGATGGGCTTGCTCTGTTATCTTAAAGTTTAGCTAATTTGCCGGTTAGTTTTCGGGTTTCTAATATTCTTTAGAGTGCGATTGTCTGAGGGCGATTTGACTTTTATGTGAGCTGCTTAGAAGCAATTCCTTACGATGAATGTTTCCCGTTGCAAGACAGCCGCCGGCGGGTTTCCTCGTTCACCGCGCGGTGGTAGGATCTGTGATCTCATTTCTGGGCCAGCAAAGACTACTGGGTGTTTCGCGGCTCCCCACACCGTAAATTAAACCAGGCTCAATTTCATTTCGTCCCGCTTTAGATTACAATAACGCATTCATTATTGGTAGATTGATGCTCCAATAAATCACAGTAGGCCGATGCAGATCTGAGGCCGGTACCGTCCACGGACGCGGTAGTCGCTTTCTATCTCTACGTCTTTCTGATATGTGATGCAAGCCAGAACATGCGATTAATCAGTAATTTATTGGATGGCTTTCGATGGCGGGCCGCGGCGCCGTGCTAGACACGCAGTGAGCCGGTCTGTAGATTATGCATGCGGATTAAGCTTTTGGCACCGCTTTGATTGCGTTTGGGGTCTGACGAATTATTTGTCAAACAGGGCCTGATTTAATGGTCTCCTTGCCGATGCAAATTCTTGCTGATGCAATATTAGGAGGCTTAGTGTTCAGTGTGAGCCTGTGTAAGCCCATGAATTTTGTCGTCTCATGAGATCACGGGATTTTGCGACTCGCGCGCCTTGTCTCTCTGTCCAATCTGGTAATGCTGACTGGCGATGGTGTGACTGTTTGACGCCATCCGACAGTCCGTCTGGCCGCTGTCGGGCCGGGTCCGCTCTCTGTCACTGCCCGACATGCAGATGTGCGCCCTTTGTCTCTGGCAGACGGAGCACCGTCGCCATCTCCCCAACTCATTCCCTCCTAACGACCCGCCGGCTCTTGCCGAAGGAAATTTGCAACACTTCGCGATGCTCGTCTCCATGAAAAATGGCGCTGCTTTGCTCGCTCGAACTTGTTCTGAGATAATGGGTGGGCCGGTGCTTAGGTCTCTTGTCTGCCGTTTAATTTGTCCTCGGAAGTCGCTTAGCCTCGTCGGTTCAGCAGGGAGAGGTTGATGCAATCCCATAATGTTCTTCGCGAATATCTCCAAAACGCGTGGATGGATCGGAACGGAATTTGGCATAGTTTTGCGTTCATCCTTCGAACACATACCTAACCTTTGAAGTTCAAAATAAACCTTTATATTAAAACATTTCCAGGTACTCTAGCTCCCAGAGTCACTACAGCAGCCCTCTCATTAACAACCCTCTCTCCCTCTCTCTCCAGGCTCCCCGCCTCTCTCCTCTGAGGTGGAGGTGCTTGTGACCACTGTGGACGGCACACAGCCCCGCTTCTCCCAGCCGCACTACTGGGCGCGCGTCTCGGAGGCTGCCGAGCGGCGCACGCCCGTGCTGACCGTGGAGGCGGCGGCGCCCTCACCGTCGGCCGCCGCTCAGCTCGGCTCGCCGCTCGTCTTCCAGCTGAGCTCGGCAGAGCAGCCGGTGCTGTTTGATGTGGATTTCACCACAGGTGAGGCAGGTGGAGAGGTGTGGACCAGTGGACAGGCTGAGTGAGGTGTGAGGCTGTGTCAGATGTGAAAATGATGGAATATATTTTGTAAAAGAACGGTATTGAGAAGGGTTGTACGATTTGTATCAGAGGTTTTATCTTCTTCCTCAGTGGGAAGATGACGCATTTCCCATGTTTTGTTAGTAGGATTAGGGTTGTCATACATTTTCGTGATGGTTTAGTACAACTTGGCCAGCATGAATATTTAGCAGTACAAGGTATTTAAGATTTAAAGTGTTCTGATAAAGTCATGAATATTCAACTACAAGCTGTTTACGCTTACAAGCGGCTTAAATTACAAGTTTACACCGATGCTGGAGGAGCTGATCTGGCAGGTGTTAGCGTTCTCACATTGTGTATTCAGTCAGCCCTGTACCCCTCGTCAACATACCTCCCCCCTTCGTCCCTAATAACACGTCACAGTATTAGGTCACAGATATGACCTCCAATGCCCCCCCCCCCCTGCAGGCGTCCTTTACGTGACCGGTGAGCTGGACTACGAGACATCCTCTCGTCACCAGCTGACCGTCACGGCCACGGACCGCGTCACGGGCTCCGTGACGTCCGTGCCCGTCACGGTGAACGTCACGGATGCTAACGATAACGCGCCGCAGTTCGAGCAGCTGACGTACTCTGTGACGGCAAGCGAGGCGGTCCAGCCGGGCGTGCGTCTTATGACCGTCACAGCCACCGATAGAGACGAAGGTGAGCGCCGGTCTGATGTTCTAAGGGGGAACAGGGAGTGGAATAGGGAGGGAGGGAGAGAGAGAGAGAGAGAGAGAGAGAGAGAGAGAGAGAGAGAGAGAGAGAGAGAGAGAGAGAGAGAGAGAGAGAGAGAGAGAGGAGAGAGAGAGCATACGGAGGTGAGGGAAGGTAGAGCGAGGTAGACGGAGTGCGAAGCGTAAGGATGCCTGCAGGATTGTAGAGTGTAGATAGGCTAAATGCTTTTCGAAGAAAGTGTGGTTGTTCATTTGAAGACGTTGTATTTGTAAGAATGTCGATTTGCTTGACAAATTTGATTTGCTTAGGCTGCGGAACTACGGTGTTGCAGAAATATAATTATCGTTTTTCTTTGGGTTCTCGGGAAATACTATAATGCAATAGCGCCAGGAGCTGTATGCTAATTCGACACGGTTCCTTGGTGACCTTTCTGAGAGAGCACGAGACATTTGCATAATGTGCCGCGGATATTTGAAAACTGACTGAAGTCCGGCTCCTTGTATGGATATCAGTGTTGTAACTTGTGAAATGGACTGTCGTTTTTCGGCTGGGAATTTCTCCACTCCTGTGGGGCTCGTGTAGTCCACGTGTTAAAGATAAGCCGCCGTAAGTGTATTAAACGACATACCGCAGGGGGACCTCCCTGTGATTGGTGTTACATTTTTAAGGCTTCCTCATGAGGTTAGCGTACACTGTAGTGCATTATTCAAACTACGAGCGTTTACCGTACTCTGAATTACCTACTACTCGAGTCATCTGATTGCAATCGTCTACGCATTTCTTGCAGTACATATCTTGTAACCATAGCTCCTTTGCTATCAACGTATGCAGCGTATGAAGTGTATGAATCCTTTTCGGCATTTCTTCTTTGATTGAAGTGTTCAGTTATTATGATAAAATACTTTTCTGTCAAGCTGCACTATGCGCCCTCATTTCACCACCATGCACCCCCCACCCCCCACCCCCACCCCAACATCGACCCCCTCCCACTCTAACGCACCGCTCCCCCCCCCCCCCCCCCGACAGACTCTGGCCGGCCGCTGATCTACCGCGTTCAGAAGGCTGACGGCTCGGAGAGCTTCCTGTTCCACATGTCTGCGGACGGCGGCCTGATGGTCCGGAGCTACCTGGACTACGAGCTGGAGAGATCTCACCGACTGGTGCTCACAGTGTCTGACGACGGATCGCCGCCGCTCACCGGCACAGCGCAGCTCACAGTTAATGGTGAGAAGGAAAGAACTTACAGTGGTGAGAGGGTGCTGCGGCCGCTTACCGCACCGCCCAGCTCACAGTTATTGGTGAGAGAATACCGCGCAGCTGACGGTTAATGGTGAGAGGGATACCGCGCTGCCGTATTCATTGTTTCCATGTTTCCATTGTTTCCCGTATATTCACAATTTCTCTCCGTCTGGCTTTACTGTCACGTAAGAGTTACTGCAGGGAAGTATGGGACAGCCACTTACTCCATTACTTAGTCACGGCGAATAATTATCCCTAATGGATCTAATCTCTTAGACCGAGCTAGGGAGAAGGTTTTACTGAGCAAAATATCTTAAAAGCAGGTGGAAAAGCCATTCTTTGGAAGAGTCATTATTGCTAATGAGTTTGCTTCCCAGTCTTTCCGGGTTTCAAAGCTCACACGAATATTTGATCTTGATATTCGAGCATCAAAGTCGTCTTTGGTCGTGTGTTCCTACTTATCAATGGTAGAAATCCTACGTCAATTTCAGCGAATATTAGCCGGCTTTTGTGTTACCGTTAGCCATTGATGTGTTCCTAAAAGCACCAAATGTATCGATCAAACGGGCACTTACCAAAATGGCTTCGCCAACTAAATGAAGTGCGGGCCGAGTTACCTACCCATCACGTTATCATATTTAACTGATTTAACTACGGCAACTTTGACAATCCGCTTAGTAATGAGCTTGTGATCGCTATTGACCGCCGACCGGCGAACGCGACGATGGGCTATCACAAACTATGACAAAGGAATCATTTAGCTGTACACGGAGATAATATTGTCGTCGTTGCGCGCATCAGAATTGTTACTTCTCGTACTGAGGCTCTTCAGCGCCTATACTATAGTAGTTGCGTAAGACTCGTGTGCCGAGGGGCTTCCTAACACAGCAATCGGTCCTATCGGCCCGCGCTGAAGTACGCTGTAGGGTATTCCCGGTACGTCCTGTGAGAGGTGACAGACACCAACTACATATCCCATTGTATTCTCTGTACTGTAGGACCTGTAAATTTGTCCGACACTGGGGGTAACTACCGACTACAGCCGGTGGGGCAGTGTGGGCGACTACTGCGTCTCCCGTATTGAACGGTCTGCACTGAGGATGTAAATACATTGCAAGTGGAAACCCGGCCGTGCAATAGGCGACTCCAATAACTCTGAGAGTCTGTTTACTCAGGCTTTATTCACGGCACCGTGAGGTTAATCAATCGCCACACAAAACACCGCAGCTGACCTTTGGTTTCCGCTGTGATAGCGTGCTGTGCGTCACTTTTGCGAACTCTCGCCAACTCAATGCTCTCTCCGTCTCTCTCTCTCTCTCTCTCTCTCTCTCTCTCTCTCTCTCTCTCTCTCTCTCTCTCTCTCTCTCTCTCTCTCTCTCTCTCTCTCTCTCTCTCTCTCTCTCTCTCTCTCTCTCTCTCTCTCTCTCTCTCTCTCTCTCTCTCTCTCTCTCTCTCTCTCTCTCTCTCTCTCTCTCCCCCTCTCTCTCTCTCTCTCTCTCTCTCTCTCTCTCTCTCTCTCTCACCTCCCCGTCCTCTCTCCCCGCGCAGTTGAGGACATTAACGACAATATGCCGACGTTCGAGCGTGCCAGCTACCACTGTCGGCTGACGGAGCTGCCCGTACGGGGCCAGTTCGTCACCATGGTCAGCGCCCACGACCCGGACAACGGAGACGTGATCACCTACCGCATCGCCGACGGCAACGACAGGCAGATGTTCTACATCAACAAACGCACAGGTGGGTGGCGGATGGGGTGCCGATGGGCTGCAGGCGGTAGGATGATGTGATAGGATTGGAATCGGACTGGCGCTGGTATACGGTTCTGTTGAAAATGTCTATTCGATATTAATCCGATGACGTGTTTGAACTTGTCTTCTATTCTGTTATGTTGTTCTGTTTTGGTTTGGTTTTGGTTTTTGTGGTTTTTAGTGTTTGACTTTGTCATCTAACAATGTAACATACAGAACCATCATATGCTCCAAATCTGATGCATCTAGCCTAAGATCTCACCGATATTGGAGTGGTAGTGTCCAGCCGTAACCTCCGACCCGTAAACCGTTATTTTTCGTGACGCTCACCCCCGTCTCCGTCACGACCCAGGTGTGATTACGGTGGCGAATATCCGCGCGTTCGGCGACTCAGCCGAGTACCACCTGAACATCAGTGCTGCCGACGGGGTGCACCACACCTACGTGCCGCTGGTCGTCGAGCTGCTGCCCGCCAACAAGGTAATGACAGAATCCACACATACAGCTTTTTCGAATATAGATTCCTTGTGTAAGGCGTAGTAAATTCTTATATGAAATGGGTGGATTGCCTGTGTCTCAGGGCAATCTAAAAGCGATTTTGATTGGCGTACTTCTGTGACTTGCTGTCTTAACAATTCTCTTTGTGATGTAGGGAAATGACGCGATATGTTTTGTGACTTTAACAGTGATGGGGACTGTCTCGAAATTATTCACTGTCTCAAAATTGGCACACAAAGATGTCTATCTCAGTCTAGACCCCAGTCGGTATACGCCCCTGCCCCCTCACTGACCCGTCCCCCTCCGCCCGCCAGCACGCGCCGGCGTTCGACAAGGTGGCCTACGAGACGGACGTGCGTGAGGACGTGTCCAGCGGTACAGAGGTGGTGCGGGTGCGCGCCGTGGACCCGGACCGCGGCCTGTTCGGTCAGGTCACCTACAGCATCCCGTCCGACGTCTGGAGGGAGGTGTTCACCATCAACGCTACCACCGGTTAGTGGGGAGAGGGCGGCAGGGGAGGGGAGGGGAGGGGAGCAGAGGGATGAAGGGAAATGGTCGTAGACAGGGGTATGTTTATATGTTTGGTAGTTTTGATGCGATGGGGATGGTTTAGGAACGGCTCAGATAAATGACAGTGAACATTTTGTGAGTGGTTTAGTATCCCCTTGATGAAGCTCAACTTTGCTCCCACTTCTCCGGCTGACGGCAACCGCTATAGAAATAAAGCAGCCTTGTCTTTGATAATCGGAGTAGCCCCCAGTCCCTCTAACCACCCCGCTCCGTCCGGCAGGTGTGGTGAGTACCCGGCAGCTGCTGGACCGCGAGGCGCGGCCGCTGCTCGAGTTCTCCGTGTGGGCCACGGACGGCGGCCACCGGTCCGACCACGCCACCGTCAAACTGAGACTGACCGACGTCAATGACAACCTGCCGCGCTTCCAGCTGGAGGAGTACCGCGCCACCGTCGGGCCGGACAGCTCGGCCGGCGATGTGGTCTGCAAGGTGAGAGGGAGGAGGGAGGGAGGGGGGAGGGTCAGTGTTCCTTGGTAAGAACTGATACAGTAGTCTTCCCTATTCTATCTGCTTCGTGGGATAATCCGCTTCCGAGAGGTGTGTATTCTATCGCTGTATTTTAGCCTAACTCACATCTGTGTTGAATATGTGAAAAGTTTTATCTATGCTTTGTCGCAGTTGTCACTGTTTACGCTCTCCTTTCTCCAGGTGTTTGCCTCTGACGCTGACGAGGGCGATAACGCCAGAATAGCCTACTCCATCTACGAGACGGAGAAATCCGACATTCGCAAGGTGTTCGACATTAACACGGATACCGGAGAGATTATCCTGATGCAGCAGCCCGCCGAGCTTGGTGAGACTTCTACTGACGACTCTGGAACATCATATGGGGTGGAGGGATGGGACTCAGGATCGTGGACAATGGCATTGATCATCTACTGAGGGAGCTAACGGTGTGTTCGTTGCGCTGCGAGTTGTTTGTTCCTGACGTCATGTGATAATGTAGAGTCAGACACGATGTTTCAGTCTCGTATAGCGCCAATAGGCAGTATCTACATAAGTGATCCTTATATTCTGTCTTCCGCCTGCCAACGACTGACCTCTGACATCCCCGCTCTGCAGAATCGGCCGTGTACCAGCTGTTTGTGCGCGCCACGGACGGCGGCTCGGAGCCCCTGGTGGCGGATGTGCCTGTCGACGTGGTGGTACTGGCAGACAGCCAGGGCCTGCCTGTGTTCGACCCGCTCCGCACCGGGCCGCAGGGGCTCTTCCTCAAGGAGAGCGACCCCGTCGGTAAGTAGGGGACAGGAGTATGCTTGCGAACCAGCTGGTAACAGGGTGTGACTCTTCAGAGACGGAGAAGGAATGTAGAATGGCTCACATGAATTCTGAGGGAAAAGCGGCTGAGTTCTGTTGTTTAGGTGACTGCGTAAGTGCCCGTCCAATGTTCATTCTTCCTGTTCTGGTAAAAGCGCCACCGGCAAGGTACAAAACTTTCAGCTGCGCAAACTTTCAGCAAACTATGGCAAGATTTGCATACATGCAAATCTTAAGAAAATTAACCTCACTCTCATTCTATCTAAAAGTAAATTCCGGATTCGAAATAAAACAAACTTTTTGAGAAGCTTTCGGCATTGCGCCATCATCAGCTCTGGAGTTTTATTCGCAAACATTTGAGAAAATATGCATTCGGGCTGATAGTTCTGTCTGCAGTTATTTCATCCAGTACTTCCTTCATATTATATAACAGTTGGCGGCGCAAGAACATTTCGTTACACACATGCATGTAGATCGACATCGTATCAAATAAACATCGTATAAGTTAACATCAAATAAACCTCGTATCGTATCGTGCATCATTCTTTTGAACAGATTCTTTTGAACACATAGGAGGCCCAGATATTGTGAAGTAAAACACCTTAAATACATTCATCACACAAACATACAGCGAAAAAAAAAACCACAAACACATACAACATACAAATAGGACATACATACACCTTGCAAACAGTTGATCGATGTCGATCAGTCTGTCAGGCTCAGGTACCACGCCGTATCAAAGACCACGATGAGGTTTGTGTGTTAAGGGTAGGTTTCAGATCACGAATGTATATTGATTCCCAAATCTTTCTGTCTGGACCGTCTTTGGAGACATGCAAAATTTGGATCGAGATGTTGTCGCTGCCCAGCTGAATATCTGGATGTTTGGTTTGATGGAAGCCAAAGGGAGTGTCTTCTTTTCTGTTTCTAGCATCTCTGATGTGCTCGTTGTACCTGAGCCTGACCTGATTCGTTGTACCTGATTTACATGCAAATCTGTTTCATAATCCCACGTTATTAAATAACCAAAGTGCTAACTTCAGCGCTCACAATTCAGCCACTGAACTTGTGTTTGCCTTTTTGCGATAGAATACCGTTTCGCTCAAAGTTTTGCTTCCGTTTAACTTACTTTTCTAATAGGCGACACATCTAGACACCATAAGGTACCCGGCTGCTGTACTAGTCTGGTGTACCCTGCCCGTACCACACCGTACCCTGACCGTACCACTGATGTACCGCCGCGTGTCCGCAGGTACGCGCATCACGTCGGTACAGGCTCGCGGCACCGGCACGCTCACCTACTCTGTGGTATCTGTACACAATGAGCCGTCGGCTGATATGTTCGAGGTGGACGCCGACGGGCAGCTGATCCTCGCCAAAAGTCTGGACAGGGAGTCGGTGGACAGGTGAGTCGGACGCTAAATGGACAGGACTGCCTGATCCTTTGTAGATAGCATACTTTTTTATTTATTTGTTTATTTATTTATTTATTTGTTAATAATTTGATTTTAGCCTCCAATGGTATGATGGAACATTTACATTTCTAAGGAAACTGGCTGCATTTCTCAAGCCCCAGAGCAATGAACGCTAGCAATATCACTTGCATGTTCCATTAACCATGTACTCGTCAGTCGCCAGATGATCGCAGGTAGAATGCTGTGAGCCGCGCCTATGACCGGTGCACGTCTCGTGTTTTAGGTACAACATCACGATCGCCGCCCGCTCGGACGCGCTGCCGCCGCTGGTGGCCTACTCGCACCTGATGCTCTCCGTGATGGACGCTAACGACAACGAGCCCGTGTTTGACGCTCAGGTGTACAGCGGTACCGTGCGCGAGGGACTGCCGGCCGGTACTCGGGCGCTGCAGGGTGAGTACAGGGTGTACTGTGTGTACCGAGGGGAGTGTACTGTACCGTGAACCGTGAACTAGACGCGTTTACAAGCTCGTTGTATGGTGTACCTTTGCCGATAATGCATAGTAACCTTCCCGTTCTATGCCTCTTCTCAGTTTTGGTTTATTGCCATCGTCGGTCTTAGACTTGGGTCCATTTCCACAGCTCTTTGCATGCCCCATCTGCGCGGAATCGGCATATTGGCGTCGTATTACTCCTGCTCATTTCCCATCATCTGACGGCTCTCTCCCTCCCTCTGCTCTGGCAGTGTCCGCCTCGGACCCGGACATCTCCTCGAGCGGCCAGGTACGCTACCGTCTGTCGGCCGACTCCGGTCACCTGCACTCGGTGCTGGCCGTGGACGAACGCTACGGCTGGGTGACCACGCTCCGGCCGCTGGACAGAGAGACCCAGGACACCTACCGGCTGTCTGTGGTCGCCACCGATAGAGGTGGGTGGCGGAGGGTTCTGTGAGACCCAGGACACCTACCGGCTGTCTGTGGTCGCCACCGATAGAGGTGGGTGGCGGAGGGGTCTGTGAGACCCAGGACACCTACCGGCTGTCTGTGGTCGCCACCGATAGAGGTGGGTGGGGGAGGGGTCTGTGAGACCCAGGACACCTACCGGCTGTCTGTGGTCGCCACCGATAGAGGTGGGTGGCGGAGGGGTCTGTGAGACCCAGGACACCTACCGGCTGTCTGTGGTCGCCACCGATAGAGGTGGGTGGGGCAGGGGTCTGAGAGACCCAGGACACCTACCGGCTGTCTGTGGTCGCCACCGATAGAGGTGCGTGGGGGAGGGGTCTGTGAGACCCAGGACACCTACCGGCTGTCTGTGGTCGCCACCGATAGAGGTGGGTGGGGGAGGGGTCTGTGAGACTCAGGACACCTACCGGCTGTCTGTGGTCGCCACCGATAGAGGTGCGTGGGGGAGGGGTCTGTGAGACCCAGGACACCTACCGGCTGTCTGGTCGCCACCGATAGAGGTGGGTGGCGGAGGGGTCTGTGAGACCCAGGACACCTACCGGCTGTCTGTGGTCGCCACCGATAGAGGTGGGTGGGGGAGGGGTCTGTGAGACCCAGGACACCTACCGGCTGTCTGTGGTCGCCACCGATAGAGGTGGGTGGGGGAGGGGTCTGTGAGACCCAGGACACCTACCGGCTGTCTGTGGTCGCCACCGATAGAGGTGTGTGGGGGAGGGGTCTGTGAGACCCAGGACACCTACCGGCTGTCTGTGGTCGCCACCGATAGAGGTGGGTGGGGGAGGGGTCTGTGAGACCCAGGACACCTACCGGCTGTCTGGTCGCCACCGATAGAGGTGCGTGGGGGAGGGGTCTGTGAGACCCAGGACACCTACCGGCTGTCTGGTCGCCACCGATAGAGGTGGGTGGGGGAGGGGTCTGTGAGACCCAGGACACCTACCGGCTGTCTGTGGTCGCCACCGATAGAGGTGGGTGGGGGAGGGGTCTGTGAGACCCAGGACACCTACCGGCTGTCTGTGGTCGCCACCGATAGAGGTGGGTGGCGGAGGGGTCTGTGAGACCCAGGACACCTACCGGCTGTCTGTGGTCGCCACCGATAGAGGTGCGTGGGGGAGGGGTCTGTGAGACCCAGGACACCTACCGGCTGTCTGTGGTCGCCACCGATAGAGGTGTGTGGGGGAGGGGTCTGTGAGACCCAGGACACCTACCGGCTGTCTGTGGTCGCCACCGATAGAGGTGCGTGGGGCAGGAGCAACGTAGAGGGAGGGACGCGTTTTATTTTTTTTTTTACTTTATTTTTTTCTTTCTTTTTTTACCCGTTACTTTCACGATGCAAATTCAACTTTTGTAATACCAATAAATATTTTTTCGGTTATAACTCATTTCTATTTACATAACCAAGATTGCTGTCAACCAGTTAGTGAACCTCTCAGCTACATCTCGGGCCCTGAGATCTCCCAGCCTTCCCTTGTCTCCGCCACTGACTCTCCCCCCCCCCCCCCCCGCCCCCGTCAGGCTCGCCGCGCCGCTCGGCCACCGCCAGTGTGGTGATCACAGTGGCCGACGAGAACGACTCACCGCCCGTGTTCGAACGCTCGCGGTACGTGGCCGTGGTCAATGAGGACGCCCTGCCTCGCACGGCCATCATGAGACTGAGCACGAGCGACGCGGACGAGATCACCGAACCGGTGCGGTTCTACATCACCGCTGGCGACCCGCACACCCAGTTCGAGGTGAGCATGGGGGAGAAGGGTAAGGGGAGGCAGGGGCGGAAAGGAATGGCAGGAAGAGAAGTGAGAGATAAACAGAGAAAACGGTGGAGAGGAGAGGTAGAGGTGATGTGCTAGTTTCGGGGGTCTTGTGGCTTATGACACGGTGAATGAATGATTAGTCAGTAATTAGGATAGGATAGTGTGTGAATGTTCGTCACCAATTCACTGAACTCGTCTGCCCCCGCCCGCCTCCTTCCCTCAGATCGTCTCGAGCGGCTCCAACAGCGGTGAGCTGTTTGTTCTGGGCACACTGGACCGGGAGACGGTGCCCAGTTACGATCTGGCCGTGACGGCCACCGACGGCTCCCAAGTGGCCACCACTGTCGTACACATCGACGTACTGGATGCCAATGGTAAGTGCGAGCTGGGTACCGTATCTGTACAGTTGTAGGTGGAGCCTGGGGGTGAGGGAATGATGGATTGGATGCCGGATCTTAGGATGCTTTTAAATATTTGTTCTTTAAAGACGGGGTTAGTGGAAATAAGCCTACATGTTTCCGTATTTAATTCATAAATAGCTTTTGTAACGGACGTTTGCATTGCATTGTGGTATAATCGCAACCTCCACGAATGATGCATTAAATGCATACCTAAAAAAGACGGCTTTCGATAAACCTCTCTGTCCTATTTCTCATAGACACCTCACACGCCTCACCCTCCGATCTGGTCTCCTCAGACAACGCGCCGGAGTGTGAGGAGGAGCACTACCAGGTGACTCTGAGCGAGGCGGCGCCTCCGCAGCACGTACTCACTGTGCGCGCGACGGACGCCGACGATAGTCGGAACGGACGACTGCTCTACTACCTGGCCGGCGACGGCGCCGAGGACTTCTCCATCGACGCGGCGCTGGGTGAGACGACTTGGATTGAGGGGAGAGGTTGTGGGTAGGTGGTAGCTTTGATGGAATCGTGAGTTGTGAGAGTGAGTGATTGCTTTCAGCAATTCCCACAGCAAGATAGTTTAGACTTCCGCTATTTGCTACATGCGATTGTATAATCAAAGTAAAAAAAAAAAAGATCTGACGGACATCTTACACGTTAGCTGCTATACCACAGATGTATGGGCTGAATATTTCATTCACGCCGCTAATTGACTCACAGCTAACCTAACCGTCCCCTCCCCTTTTCACAGGTCACGTCAAGGTATCTGGCACGCTGGACCGCGAGACGCGCCCCGTATACCACCTGGTGGCCCACGTGCAGGACCGCGGCCGGCCCGAGTGGGAGTGCACCAGTCGACTGACGGTCGCCCTGCTGGACGTGAACGACTGTCCGCCGCGCTTCCCCCAGTCAGTGGTGTCCCTCACCGTGCCTGAGGACACGCCCGTCAACAGCATACTGGGACGGCTGCACGCCAGCGATGACGATCTGGGTGAGAGAGGGGAGAGAGGAGAGAGAGGGAGGGAGGGAGGGAGGGAGGGAGGGAGGGAGGAAGGAAGGAAGGAAGGAAGGAAGGAAGGAAGGAAGGAAGGAAGGAAGGAAGGAAGGAAGGAAGGAAGGAAGGAAGGAAGGAAGGAAGGAAGGAAGGAAGGAAGGAAGGAAGGAAGGATGAGAAGGAGAGGGAAAAAAGAGGAGTACCTATGGAGGTTTCTGGGGAAGAGATGTTGACTGGAGTTGGCGGAGGCAGATACGAAGTTTTGATGTGATGTGTTTGATGTGAAAATTATGCGTTTTAAGACGAGCATATTTTGATTTTTGCTTATCTTTCGATCGCTGACCTCAGGCCTCGACTACCAGCTGACCGCTGCCCTTTCTCCCTCTCCCCAGGCGCGTCTGCCGAGCTCGAGTACAGTCTGGTGGACTCTGAGGAGAGCCAGCTGCTGCTGGACCCGCGCACCGGCGTCCTGACGCTGGCCCGGCCGCTGGACCGGGAGCAGCAGGCCATGTTCAACATCAGTGTGATGGCCACTGACGGCGGCTCGCCGGCGCTCTCCGGCACCGCCGCCGTTATACTGCTCGTGCAGGGTGGGTGGACAGAGATTATAGGGGTCTTCATTAGAAATCAGTCAGCTCATAACCTAATGCGTGAGCTGTGTGTTATTCGAAAGTTCAGGTCACTGTCGCTGGAAAGTTCACTGTAAGTTCGGTTGAACTTTTGGTTTTTGGGGATTCTCAACATTCTACCACAGTCCACATGACCTGTGCTGGGTGGACACTTTATAAATTAATCGGCTCTGTGCCCGTACATCAGAATTATCACCATTCATCATGATCTGTTCTGACCTTCCTGCGTTCTTCGTTTCCCACAGACGTTAATGACAACGCGCCGGAGTTCACCAAGACCATGTACCACGCCAGCGCGTACGAGAACACCACAGTCGGGACGGAGGTGCTCAAACTGCTGGCCACCTCGCGTGACTCGGGGGTGAACGCCGAGATCAGCTACAGCATTATCGGCGGCAACGAGCACAACATGTTCGAGATCAACCGAAAAACCGGTGAGAGGACAGAGGGACTGGGAGGCTGGGAACGGTGGAGCAGTGAAGGGTGTGGACGTAATGATACGGTACGCCTGACAGCCTGCATTCCAGCTTTTGTCAGGCGTTGCATGTCGAAGCAGCTTAGCTCGAAGCAGCTTGGCTTAGCTTATAGTCGAGAAATGCAAGGCGTATGTGGTTCATGGTGATACTGACGATTAGTTCACAGTAACACTTACATTTGCTCCCATGCTTTCGATGCTTCCTCGGCCGTTGGAAAGTAGTCATTTGGAATTGTTTTTCATTGAAGTTTTCAGTCTCGCTCGTTTCCGTGAAAATCTCAGCTCTCAGTCCATCAAACACCCAGCCTTCCATACCCCCTCTGACCCTCCGTCCCCCGTCCCACAGGTATCGTATCGGTGACCGCCCAGCTGGACTTTGAGCGGGCCCGCGAGTACATGGTGACCGTGGAGGCGCGTGACGGCGGCACGCCGCCGCTCAGTAACCACGCCACGGTGAACGTCACGGTGCTCGACTGTAACGACAACATGCCCGTGTTCGGACAGGAGGTGTACAGCGCAGTTATTAGGGAGGATGTGCCCACTGGAGAACGCGTCCTGCAGGTGCGTGGATGGAGAGGGGAAGAATATGTCAGTTTTGTTTCATTGTGATGTTGCCTCTGAAAAGGGTTTGGAGAGGAGGAAGGATTTATTTTATTTTAAGCTACGCTTCAGGAGCAGACAGACGTTGCACAATGCACTCCAGCTGAGTGCTGCTTGTATTCTTTTGACTCTGTCAAATATGTAATGTCAGATGAGCTTCTTGGCCAAACCAAGCAAAACACTAATAAATGGATAAAAATTCCGCCCGCTCACCACGGCTGTTTATCCGACCAGTGCTTAACCGACCTGACCTGATCTGACCTATGACCCGTATCCACCTCTGTTTTGACCCGTGGCCTACCCATATCCACCTCCTTTCTGACCGGTGACCCGTCTGTGACGCCCTGTGACCCGTCTGTGACGCCAGGTACACGCGGCTGATCTGGACGCGGGCACCAACGCGCGTGTCCGCTACTCGCTGACCGGGGGCGACCCGCACGGTCAGTTCGCCGTGGACTGTGACACGGGACATGTCTACGTGAACACGCAGCTCGACAGAGAGATGGTAAGAGGCGGAGCGGGGATCACACGGCGGGGAGGGCTGAACTGCGGGCCTGCTTTACATCAACAGTGGTTAGCGGACAGGTTAACTGTGCCCTACCCCCTGAATTATTTTTGCTTTTCCTCTCCCACGCACTATACTTCCTGGCAATTACCAGGGGCCGTATTCACGTCGACATCGTAGGTCGACTTTCTTTCGTAAGTATACTTAGGTATTCACGTCGACACTTCTTAAGTTTTTATCGACGGAGCTCAAGTAATTGTTTTGTTTGTATCACTCAATAAAATGAACTGAACTGAACTTAACTGAATTTAAAAAAAAAATGTTTGAGAAGTAGGTTATGCGTAATAAAATTCTACGAAAATGATCGACGTGAATACGGCCCATAACTTGCAACTAAGCGTAGTTTAAGATCCAAGTAAGGTATATCAGCTGAACATTAGCTACCTCACATCTCATAAAGTTTCCTCATCGCTGTAGACCGCTGTAGACTTACTGCGGTACTCCTTGGCGGCTAACTCCTCTGTTTTACTTTGTGTCCAGGTATCCAGTTACGGTCTGGAGGTGACGGCCACAGACATGGGAGAGCCGTCCCTCAGCTCCACCGCCCAGATCAACGTGCATGTCAGCGACGCCAACGATAACCCGCCCGTCTTCAGCCAGGCCAAATACGAGGCTGTCATTCAGGTGTGGACCGTCCTCCGGCGTCCCGCTGGGCTCGAGAGAGCTACTTCAGGCACGCAACTCCGCTGTTAATGAGTTGTCGAGCTACGTAGTGCGCATATTGCATAGGCATTCTAAACAGATTAACTGCATTTTCGAAGTGAATGTGAATGGGTGATGTCATATTTTTGGTCATACTTAAGCTACATTGATGTGCCGTTGTAAACCTGTTCACCTATCGTTTGTGAATTTGCTCATATGCCGTACTCCTGTCACAATGTAATAAGCAGCTACCCATGAGGTGTTCGACTCTCGCTGTCCCTCTAACTGTCCTCACGCCCCTCCTCCCCCGTCCTCAGGAGGACAAGGCGCCGGGCCACGAGCTGCTGCAGCTCACCGTCACGGACGCCGACGAGGAGCCCAACGCCGGCCCGTTCACGTTCGAAGTGGCCGACGGTAACGCCGGCAACTGGTTCGTCATCACGCCCGGCGGCCAGCTGCGCACGGCGGCCAAATTCGACCACCGGCAGCGCGACACCTACCGGCTCCTGGTGCGGGTCTACGATAACGGAGAGGACGTGCGGTTCTCTGAGACATGGGTGGATGTGAAGGTGAGAACGGTGAGGGGAAGGGGAGGAGGAGAGAGGCAGGCGGAAGGGAAGGAGGACAGGAGATAGAAGGGGAGAATGAAGAGGAGTGGGTGGTTTGAAGGGTGAGCACTGGGAAAACCTGGTTGGGAGACCTTTCTTTGTTGGACTTTTTTCTCCATCCAATGTCCTGGTATGCGATGGTTGTGCTATTTCATTTTCAACTATATCTTACGTAAAATAAAATGTGAAATTACTCCTACCTTTCCAGCGTTCTTTCTACCGTTACACCGTTCCGACTTTTCCATCAGTTCCTCATTCGAATCCTTATCCGCACCTCTAACTTCATCTGACGAAGTACTTCAGTAGTTCCTGGGAGGCTGCAGGCTCACGTGCCGTTGGGTGACCGTTTGTGGGGCTGTGTGGCCCGTCCACTGTGACGGGGTCAGCCCCGGCGGTGCACCAGGGTGACCGCCCAGACCAAACCAGACCAGCAGCCTCAATACTCGCCTTATTGACCCCGTCCCGCTCTGTTTTCAGATAATCGAACCTGAGTACCCGCCTTATTGAGTCCCTCTCGTTCTGTTTTCAGATCATTGAGGAGCCGCAGTACCTGCCTTATTGAGTCCATCTCGTTCTGTTTTTCAGATAATCGAGGAGCCGCAGTACCCGCCGGTGCTGATCCCTCTGCACGTCTCGATCCAGTCCTACCAGGACTCGTTCCCTGGCGCCGTGGTGGGCCGGGTACACGCCTCCGACCAGGACCCGTACGACCGGCTCCAGTACAGCCTGACGGCCGGCCCCGGCCAGGCGGGACTGCAGCGGCTCTTTGAGCTCGACCCCGACGACGGGTCCCTGGTGACACTGGCCGGCATTGACGCCGGTCTGTACCGTCTGAACGTGTCGGTGACGGACGGCAAGTTCACCAGCTACACGGACGTGACGGTCGAGGTGCGCGACATCACCGAGCAGATGGCCCGACACGCCGTCGGCGTCAAACTGGACGCCCTCTCGCCGTACGCGTTCGTCCTCAGCCACCTCAAATCGTTCCGGCGCGCGCTGCGCAAACAGCTCAAAGTGCGCTCCAAGGACATCCTGGTGCTGAGTGTCCAGCGCAGCGGCGGCGGCACTGGTCGGCGGCGGCGCGCCGGCGGCTCGCAGCCGGCGCTGGAGGTGCTGCTGGCGGTGCGCCGCGGCCCCGCCTGGATGGAGCCGGCCGTGGTGCGGCGCCGTCTGAAGGCCGGCGCGGCGGCCATCAGCCGACAGCTGGGCGTGCAGCTGCTCGATGTGGACGCGGACGGGTGCGAGCCGAGCCCCTGCGGCGGCCACGGTGTGTGCTCCGACGTGGCCGTGTTCGATCGGGAACAGGTGGTCAGCGTGGCCACTGACGTTGTGAGCTTCGTGTCGCCCCGCCACAGCCGGGAGGTCAGCTGCGAGTGCCACGTCGGCTTCGGAGGTGAGTTGACACAGCCCGTTAGTGTGAGCTGATTTATTTTGGTAAAGTTAGTGTGGCAATTAACATTGTAATGTCATGAACATGGTGGCAACCAGAGTTTTTACATGCAGGAATGTGTTATCAGGAATCGTACCTATCGTTCGAATATGGTTACGTAGCGTATGCCAGTGTGTAATTTTCACCTCCTTGTATGAATTCCACCATCAATATGGGATCACGCCTATCACCTCTCCGACCCCATGAGTCTAACCCCATCGTTTCCCCGTTCCCCAGGTGAGCTGTGCACGGACCTGGTGAACGAGTGCGGCCGCGCTCCGTGCGCCGACTACCAGCTGTGTATCCCGGACGGCACGGCGTCCGGCTTCACGTGCCGCTGTCCCGAGGGGCGCACCGGTCCGCGCTGTGACCTACTGGCCTCCGAGTGCCGCGAGGGACAGTGCTACACCCCCGGAGCGCCCTTCTCTCTCAGTGGAGACGGGTTCGCCGAGTACCGGCTGATGCAGGCGCAGCACAGCCGCTCCAGTCTGCGGCTCAGTCTGCGGACCCGCCAGCCGACCGCCACCCTGGTGTACGCGGCCGATGGAGTCGAGTACAGCATTCTGGAGGTAGGTTGGCTGCGAATTATGGGACGGTGATTGGAGAGAGATGTTATGTGGTGCATGGCAGGCCAAAAAGATGGCTGGCTGTGGTCGCGCTGCTGGTTCTCAAAGGACTTCAGTTTTGGACTCTTGGCACAATTATCGTTCTCTCTCCAGCTGACCACCCCTTTCTCACCAACTGACCCCCCCCCCCCCCCGCCCTCAGCTGGTGAACGGCCAGATTCAGTACCGGTTCGACTGTGGCAGCGGTGAGGGACTGGTCCTCGTGCCCGACACACAGTTCAACGACGACCGATGGCACAACGTGGTCGTCAAGCGCTTCGGCAACCGCGCCGAGATCCTGGTCGACGGGGACTTCGGGGCGCAGGTCAGCGAGGCTGGCTAGATTTCTCTGCCAGTCTAGTGTGGAAAGCTGACTGTTGTTAGTGCGGGTGATGCTGTTTGTACGGGTGGAATTTTTGATGCGGGTAATGAAGGGGTTCAGCGTATGAAAGAGAATAATGTGTCATTCGATGTTAACATTTTGTCTGAGAATGCTGTTGTTACGTGGGCTTTCATAAAGCCAATTGCTTCGTAAATCTCGGATAAAAGCTAGTCTTCTTAGTCGCTCCAGCTCTGTGTATGTTCTCCCTCCCTGTCTCTTCGCCATCCGCCCCGCGCAGTGAGCCGCCGCTGACTCCCGTCTGTGTGTCTGTCTGTGCTGGCAGGGCGCGGCGCCGGGCTACTTTGACGTGCTCTCGGTGGCCAGCCGCCTGCTGTTCGTGGGTGCCGAGGTGGCGGTCCCTGCGGCCGGCGGCGCCGCCAGGGAGCCCCGGCGCGGCTTCACCGGCTGTCTGGATAACCTGGAGCTGGACGGCGAGCGTCTGCCGCGGCACCGGGCCGACGGCGCCGGCTCGGCGCAGCTGGTGCGGACGGTGGGCGTGTCGGCCGGCTGCGGCGCCGCGCTGCCCGAGCCGGGTGTGTGTGACACTCAGCCGTGCCTGAACGGCGCCCGCTGCGCGCCGGCCGCCGACCGGCCCGGCGGCTTCAGCTGTCTCTGCGCGCCGCGCTTCTCCGGCGCGCGCTGCGAGGTCGACTCGGACCCGTGCGCCTCGGCGCCGTGTCTGAATGGCGGCGTGTGCAGCGCGGAGCGCGCCGCGCCCGGAGGGTACCGGTGCGACTGCGCGGCGCGGCTGACCGGGGACCGGTGTCAGTACGGCCTGCACTGCGCGCCCAACCCGTGCCTGAACGGCGGCGCCTGCGAGGACGGCACGTTCGGGCCGCTGTGCAAGTGTCGCGGCTTCACCGGGCCGCTGTGCGCCGTGGACGTCAACGAGTGCCTGCAGAGCCCGTGTCGCAACGGCGCCACGTGTGTGAATGTGCCGGGCTCGTTCCGGTGTCAGTGCGCGGCCAACTGGACGGGCCAGCTGTGCAGCCTGGCGGCGGCGCCGGCGCCGGCCGTGCCGCTCTCGGTCACCCTGGAGCACATTGTCGGCCTGGTGGCCGTCGTTCTGGCGCTGTTCCTGCTGGCGCTGCTGATCGTGTGCTGGCGGCAGTCGCGCCGGAAGCGCAGCCGCACGCCGCGTCAGCGTGCCGATGGTCAGGACGCGTCCAACGAGATCCTGCTGCAGACTCTGAATTCAAAAAACCCGCGCGGCGAGTATCAGCGGATGTCCAAGGTGTCCAACTTGGAGGCCAACACTTCGGTACGTCACACACAAACGCGCACAGCACGTATTTTTTATTGCACTACCTATCATATTGATTTCACCTTACGACTTCTAACGACCCGCAGCCGTTCTGAGCAATATCTAGTTTTATCGTGGTGCGGTAGTACATATGATGACATTTTAGTGCCATTGCTTTGTCACATTGTTTGCTTATGCCGTCACATCTGAACAACATGTCGGTATTTTGTCTTATTTCGTCCGTCTGCAGTCCAACCCTCACTGCCCCTTCCGTCCCGCAGGCCGCGGGGACGCTGCCGGCCCGTCCGGCCATTCTGACCACTTGTCACTGACTGCTGTCATCTGACCTTACTGACCCCTCTGACCACTCTCCGTCCGACAGGCCGCGGGGACGCTGCCGGCCCGTCCGGCGTCGTTCACCGGCGCAGCCAACAGTCGGCCCTCCGAGCCGCCCTACTCGACGCTCAACAATCTGGACACCATCCGCAGCTACGGCTCGGCGGCCGACGACCTGGACGTCGCGCCATCCCACAGCGCGTGCCAGTACTTGCAGGTCAGTCGCGCCATCCCACAGCGCGTGCCAGTACTTGCAGGTCAGTGGCGCCACCCCACAGCGCGTGCCAGTACTTGCAGGTCAGTGGCGCCACCCCACAGCGCGTGCCAGTACTTGCAGGTCAGTCGACACACACCACAGCGCGTGCCAGTACTTGCAGGTCAGTCGGCACACCCCACAGCGCGTGCCAGTACTTGCAGGTCAGTCGGCACACCCCACAGCGCGTGCCAGTACTTGCAGGTCAGTCGGCACACCCCACAGCGCGTGCCAGTACTTGCAGGTCAGTCGACACACACCACAGCGCGTGCCAGTACTTGCAGGTCAGTGGCGCCACCCCACAGCGCGTGCCAGTACTTGCAGGTCAGTCGACACACACCACAGCGCGTGCCAGTACTTGCAGGTCAGTCGACACACACCACAGCGCGTGCCAGTACTTGCAGGTCAGTGGCGCCACCCCACAGCGCGTGCCAGTACTTGCAGGTCAGTCGACACACACCACAGCGCGTGCCAGTACTTGCAGGTCAGTCGCGCCACCCACCACAGCGCGTGCCAGTACTTGCAGGTCAGTCGCGCCACCCCACAGCGCGTGCCAGTACTTGCAGGTCAGTGGCGCCACCCCACAGCGCGTGCCAGTACTTGCAGGTCAGTCGGCACACCCCACAGCGCGTGCCAGTACTTGCAGGTCAGTCGCGCCACCCCACAGCGCGTGCCAGTACTTGCAGGTCAGTCGCGCCACCCCACAGCGCGTGCCAGTACTTGCAGGTCAGTCGCGCCACCCCACAGCGCGTGCCAGTACTTGCAGGTCAGTCGGCACACCCCACAGCGCGTGCCAGTACTTGCAGGTCAGTCGCGCCACCCACCACAGCGCGTGCCAGTACTTGCAGGTCAGTCGCGCCACCCCACAGCGCGTGCCAGTACTTGCAGGTCAGTCGCGCCACCCACCACAGCGCGTGCCAGTACTTGCAGGTCAGTCGGCACACCCCACAGCGCGTGCCAGTACTTGCAGGTCAGTCGGCACACCCCACAGCGCGTGCCAGTACTTGCAGGTCAGTGGCGCCACCCCACAGCGCGTGCCAGTACTTGCAGGTCAGTCGGCACACCCCACAGCGCGTGCCAGTACTTGCAGGTCAGTCGCGCCACCCCACAGCGCGTGCCAGTACTTGCAGGTCAGTCGCGCCACCCCACAGCGCGTGCCAGTACTTGCAGGTCAGTCGCGCCACCCCACAGCGCGTGCCAGTACTTGCAGGTCAGTGGCGCCACCCCACAGCGCGTGCCAGTACTTGCAGGTCAGTCGCGCCACCCCACAGCGCGTGCCAGTACTTGCAGGTCAGTGGCGCCACCCCACAGCGCGTGCCAGTACTTGCAGGTCAGTGGCGCCACCCCACAGCGCGTGCCAGTACTTGCAGGTCAGTCGCGCCACCCCACAGCGCGTGCCAGTACTTGCAGGTCAGTCGCGCCACCCCACAGCGCGTGCCAGTACTTGCAGGTCAGTGGCGCCACCCCACAGCGCGTGCCAGTACTTGCAGGTCAGTCGACACACACCACAGCGCGTGCCAGTACTTGCAGGTCAGTCGCGCCACCCCACAGCGCGTGCCAGTACTTGCAGGTCAGTCGCGCCACCCCACAGCGCGTGCCAGTACTTGCAGGTCAGTGGCGCCACCCCACAGCGCGTGCCAGTACTTGCAGGTCAGTCGACACACACCACAGCGCGTGCCAGTACTTGCAGGTCAGTCGCGCCACCCCACAGCGCGTGCCAGTACTTGCAGGTCAGTCGCGCCACCCCACAGCGCGTGCCAGTACTTGCAGGTCAGTGGCGCCACCCCACAGCGCGTGCCAGTACTTGCAGGTCAGTCGCGCCACCCCACAGCGCGTGCCAGTACTTGCAGGTCAGTCGCGCCACCCCACAGCGCGTGCCAGTACTTGCAGGTCAGTGGCGCCACCCCACAGCGCGTGCCAGTACTTGCAGGTCAGTCGCGCCACCCCACAGCGCGTGCCAGTACTTGCAGGTCAGTCGCGCCACCCCACAGCGCGTGCCAGTACTTGCAGGTCAGTGGCGCCACCCCACAGCGCGTGCCAGTACTTGCAGGTCAGTCGACACACACCACAGCGCGTGCCAGTACTTGCAGGTCAGTCGGGACTCGGGACACACCACAGCGCGTGCCAGTACTTGCAGGTCAGTCGCGCCACCCCACAGCGCGTGCCAGTACTTGCAGGTCAGTGGCGCCACCCCACAGCGCGTGCCAGTACTTGCAGGTCAGTCGCGCCACCCCACAGCGCGTGCCAGTACTTGCAGGTCAGTGGCGCCACCTCACAGCGCGTGCCAGTACTTGCAGGTCAGTCGCGCCACCTCACAGCGCGTGCCAGTACTTGCAGGTCAGTGGCGCCACCTCACAGCGCGTGCCAGTACTTGCAGGTCAGTCGCGCCACCCCACAGCGCGTGCCAGTACTTGCAGGTCAGGTGGGGGACCAGACTAGTTAGTTCTACTCCTACCTCTCCACCACCAAGTGCCTGCACGTCAGTGGGGCCCAGCTTTAGCCTCTTCCTAGCATTACTTCAGGTGGCGAGTCGGGCCCACTTTTATGCGTCTCTCAGTAGTTGCAGTTCAGTAAATAGGCGCTGGCTAACCCGTTTTACATTGTTTTTCAGCTAGCCTAAAGCAGGCTTGGCCTTGCGACTAGATCTTACACCTAACCTGAGCACCTGTTTATCGTTTCAGAACTTCAACAAGCCTACAGCGAGCGTGGCTCCGTCGATGGCAGCGACAGCGTCTGACGTCAGCGCCTCCAACACGCTGGAGAAGACCTTCCGAGACATGGACAAAAACATCAAACCGTCCTACTACGACATGCACAAGATACAGAATGGTAAGTGTTGGCATCTACCCTAGGGATACGTCCGGTGGAGTTTGTAGAATTTTAGGTTCGTTAGTGGGCTCGTCAAGAATGATTTTAAACTCTTTTATGTCCATTGTTTGTTTGGTTAGAAATTGGGTTGCCAGATACCGTAAATATTCGTTTTTTTCCGTTGGTTGGATCAGACGTTTATCGAAAATGCCCAGGTAGTAGCGCCACTACCATCAGTCTCCGATTCTCTGGTGACCGTGTGCTGATGTTGGACCGTTCCTGACGCCGTGTCCGCCCCGCGCCGTTCCAGACCAGACGGACCCTCAGCTGGCGGCGCTGAACCGAATTCAGCTGCCACCGCTGGACAAGCCGCGACGAGTGGTCGGGGCCACCGCCCTGTCCTCACCCGACACCCCCGGTGAGCGCTCTGTCACTCTGCCCTCCCCCGCTACTCTTCCCGGTCGGTCCCTGTCGCTGCTTTTGTCCAGCGTACTTACAACGGTGTGGGATTATCCGGTTGGTACATACGTGATAACATGGTCATTTTGTACCTTCGGCTTAGCAGCTTTACCTATAAACATGTGATTGATACGATTCGTACGGTAGGGCATGTTATACAGGAAGCAGCAGGTGAAGGGCCTCCAGACGATATATTGTATCCCAAACAAAACGTAGCTCTATGATGTTTTGTTAAAACCAACATTGCCTCCGTCGCCTAGTGTTCAGTAATCGGTTTTATGTATCGTATCACATTGTGACGCGCGTTCGTTCCATGTGGCCCTACAGAGTACCACTGGGACTGCTCCGACTGGGCGGGCGCCACCAGTCAAACGCCGCTGCCCAACATCACAGAGGTGGCCGGGTCAGAGGTCAAAGACTCGTCCAGTTACCATAGCAACGAGAGCAACGAGAGCAACTCGGGCGTCCGCGCGCCCATAGGTGAGTGTGTGTGGGAGGGGGCGGGGAGGCGGAGGAGTGGGCGAAAGAAAGGGAGAGAGAGATGGGGATTAATTATATGGGGAGATTGGAGTAACGCGGGAAGAATGCGAGGTGTAGCCAAGTTGGTCAGTGTCTCATATTTCGGTGCCAGCAATTGCGCATTTCGAGGGCCCAATCAATCACAATATTCATCGTTGCTTATTTATCACGCCATTTTCTGATGAGATACTTTTTAGTGCCCAATATCAAACAAAGTAATTAAGATATCAGTTTCGTGTCAGAAATTAATTCGAACCCCGCGCCTGATACAAACAAATATCCAACCATGAACCAGAACATTTTTTCAAGAATGAGCATATCAGTCGTTCCGTCGGCTGTTTTCACAGAGCCAAGGAGGAGATACGAAACCAAGGTTTAGACGCCCGGAGAGGCCATATCAACATGTCACTTCCAAACTCACTCGCTCCTGCAGCCCTATCTAATCCAGTTTATTGTTCACTAGAATCAGCAGTAGCCTCCGTAGACAATGAATAGAGCGTATATTTTTAACGTATTTATATATATCACTGACCCTGTTACCTCTGCTTCCTTATAAAGCGATCCTCAGTGTTCCTACGGTATATGATTAGTGTATGGTGCAAGAGGATCTTGTTCCTCGTGCGAACAACTGAAGACTTGTGCCGACAAGACTGTGTTGTCGAGCCATTAATGCTGAACCCAGTAAGAAAATCTATGGTTTTGACAGCTTCTTATTCTAATCCCCTTCAAGAACTAGTTTTATTTCTTGTCCGAAGCTACTACACTATTTTTAGTTCGCCTTGGCCTGTATCGTATTGTGCTTAAGTCTCGGCACTGTCGCGATGATAACTGAATACCTTCCTTTCCCTCATTGGATTGGGTTCGCTGTCCGTTTTTATTTTTCGGTTGGTGAATGCCAGTGTTGCACTTACCCGGCACTGAGGCACTGTACAGACAGCACAGTACGCACACCCTGCGCCTGAATCTGGACTCCGTGCGAGCTGACACACCATTGACCAGCTTCGTTTCGGCATGTCACTGACATATCGCCGCCTAATCAAGACATTAGTGATGCACGAATCAGACATTGTATCGGTGAACTGTGTCAGTGCCGTGTAACGCGCTGTACGTGAGGTGTGCAGTGTTGTGTTTCTGCACAGTCACCTGTTGGGTTGTCGTGTGGGTGTTCAAGCATTCATGGTGAGATGTATGCTGAGCGGCAGCCTTCGGAAGTGGTTTTTCATGTTTCGCCTGTTTGGTTACGGCTGACTATACTCACTGCTGTTTAGTGAATCGTCATGTGGGCTGTTTGGTTACGGTTACCGATCACTGCCAATTATAGTTTCAGTCCGTGCAGTATCGACTGTCAGCTGTGACCGGCGCGGTCCGTTAGGAGCTCAGCCGTCCGTGACCGGGCCGTGGCCGCTCTGTTTCGCCCCTGGCTGACCTGTCCCTCTCGCCAGACGGCGCGGCGTGCGGCGCCGTCACAGACGATGACGACGTCCTCGAAACACTCAACGAGGACCAGCAGTCGGACTACACGGCCGACGGCGACGGCGACGACATCACGTCCGATCTGGACACGCTGCCGGAGCCGACCGACTTCGACCGCATCCTCTCCGAGCACGGCATCGAGCTGGGCGCCTCCGTGTCGGAGCTGTCCTCTCTGGCCGGCGGCGACCTGGCCTACGGGCTGGCGGCGCACCCCAACCTCTACCTGCCGGCGCACAGCGGCGCAGAGACGACCGACAACGAGGCTGACACGCCGCTCCAGCGCCGGCTCGACAGGTAGGCACCCGCGCCTACAGGTAGGCAGCCGCGCCTACAGGTGGGCAGCCGCGCCTGCCTAGGCAGGAGCGGGACTCGGGAGGTCGGAACTGGTAAACCGTGACCCGTGCATATGTGACAGAATTCGCTGCATTGGCGCCCATTGGGTACTCTACTAGATTTAGATTTGAATGGTCTTGTTAAAGGGCTTAAGAACTCTTTCTTATTAATGATGTTCCACCATATTCTTGCTTGACAACATCAGATATCGTACCATCTGGCACGTATACCGCTGAGGCATTTTTAACTCGGCAACTTGTCTATATCAGCGCAAGCATGATGCAAATGCGATACATTTTATCAATGATATATTTTTGATTGAACGTTATATGCCTCCGCTCTGTGCCCCGGCGGCGCTCTGACGCCCGGTACCGGCCGGCAGGTACCGGTACCCGGCCCGGAACCGGATGCCGCTCCGGCTCGGCACGTACGCCGAGCTGGAGTCGCTGACGGCCGGCAGTCAGAGCGAGGACGCCGGCCAGCTCTGCGACATCGAGTCGGACGACGCCAGCTCCCGTATCTGACGACGCGACCGGGCCGCCCGGCCGGCGGCGGCCCAGATCTCAGAGATAGGGCGTCCGGCGCGGGGCACAGAGCTCGTGGCCGCGCCTCGGCCGGCGCAGGGGGCGCTGGTGTGCGCCTGAAGGCAGCTGAGAGGACCGTCTCCGAATCGCCGACCCGTGCGGAGTCGGTGAGACCGCGGAGTTAGTGGCCACGGGCCGGATCACGAGGTATTTGTTGTGGCGGGCCGATACAGACAGGCCAGCCGCCGCCGACCTCTGGCCCTCAGTAGGACCACACATACACCCTGTTCTGGTGGGTGCGTACGAGTCCGAACAGAGATTTGCTAACCATAGACGGGTCGCTGGGTGAGACAGTATGTGCCAGACAGCGGCGAGTGACATGTCGGCGCGTGGCCCGACTGAGTTTTATGTGCGTGTGCGTCGGATGAAGTACCAACGCCGCCGGTTGTGTGCGTGTCTGCCGACCCGACGAATCTGCCTTGTCTGGCTGAATTGTGATGAGCTTTAGTCGTTTATTGCCGCGGGTGGGTGAGAGAGGGGAGAGAGATAGAGAGAGAGAGAGAGAGAGAGAGAGAGAGAGAGAGAGAGAGAGAGAGAGAGAGAGAGAGAGAGAGAGAGAGAGAGAGAGAGAGAGAGAGAGAGAGAGAAGAGAGAGAGAGAGAGAGAGAGAGAGAGAGAGAGAGAGAGAGAGAGAGAGAGAGAGAGAGAGAGAGAGAAGAGAGAGAGAGAGAGAGAGAGAGAGAGAGAGAGAGAGAGAGAGAGAGGAGAGAGAGAGAGAGAGAGAGAGAGAGAGAGAGAGAGAGAGAGAGAGGAGAGAGAGAGAGAGAGAGAGAGAGGAGAGAGAGAGAGAGAGAGAGAGAAGAGAGAGAGAGAGAGAGAGAGAGAAGAGAGAGAGAGAGAGAGAGAGAAGAGAGAGAGAGAGAGAGAGAGAGAGAGAGAGAGAGAGAGAGAGAGAGAGAGAGAGAGAGAGAGAGAGAGAGAGAGAGAGAGAGAGAGAGAGAGAGAGAGAGAGAGAGAGAGAGAGAGAGAGAGAGAGAGAGAGAGAGAGAGAGAGAGAAGAGAGAGAGAGAGAGAGAGAGAGAGAGAGAGAGAGAGAGAGAGA